GTCATTCCAATGACACAGGTGAAAGTTTACTCATGACTAAAGTCTGTGTCATTCCAATGAACACAGATGAAAATTTCTCATGACTAAAGGCCGTGTGATTCCAATAACACAGGTGAAACGTCTGTCGACTGAAGGCTGTATCATTCCAATGACACAGGTGAAACGTCTGCCGAAAAAAAAGGTGAAACATCTGTCGACTGAAGTCGATGTGATTCCAATGACACAGGTGAAACACCTGTCGACTGAACGCTGTGTCATTCCAATGACACAGGTGATATTTCTCATGACTAAAGGCTATATTGTGATTCAAATTAACACGGGTGAAACTTCTGTCGACTGAAGGATGTGTCATTCCAATGACACAGGTGAAATTTCTAATGACTAAAGTGTAAATCCAATAACACAGGTGAAACATCTGTCGACTGAATACTGTGTCATTCCAATGACACAGGTGAGATTTCTCATGACTAAAGGCTTTGTGATTCCAATAACACAGGTGAAACATCCGTCGACTTTATAAAGGCTGTGTAATTCCAAAAACACTTCCATTGACACAGGTAAAACACCTGCCGAAAAAAGGTGAAACATCCGTCGACATAAGGCCGTGTCATTTCTCATGACTAAAGGCTGTGTGATTCCAATGTCACGGATGAATATTCTGTCGATAAAAAGGCTGTGTCATTCAATGACACAGGTGAAACTTCTGCCGAAAAAAAGGCTATGTCATTCCGATGAAACGGGTGGAAATATCAGCCGCCTTAAAGCTATGTCATTTCAATGACACAGGTGGAAATTCTGCTGTTCAGGGCTATGTCATTCCGATGACACAAGTGAAATATTTGCCGTCTTAAGGCTATGCCATTCCAATGACAGGTAATAATTCTACTGTTCAGGGCTACATCATTCCAATGACTCAGGTGACATATGTGCCATATTAAGGCTATGTCATTCCAATGACACAGGTGGATATTCTGCTGTTGAGGGCTATATCATTCCAATGACTTAGGTGACATATCTGCCATGTTCAGGCTACTAGTATATCATTCCAGTGACACAGGTGAAAAATCTGCCGTCTTTACTGTACAGTCTTGTCAAGCAAATGTTTACATGTGTAGACTTTTTGGCATTGTTCCATCTAAAATATGTAGTCCAAAGTTGCAATTACCCCTTAACTGCAATTGTCGTGAGCGAAAATGAACTATCCTTTACATACGTACGCACAGCAAAACAGATTGTCGGTAAGACAAGTATGTTTTATTAGGAATATGATTGATATGTCCCGATCAGAATTATTGTGAACAGTGTGTTCGAAGAAACAATTAGGATGGTTAAACTGAGTGATCCTGATAGAACAACCATTACAGGTAAGGCTTACACATGTTATCTTGCAGTACATATGGAATATACTACGTAATACTATGGAATGCACCTTAATCGGCCTGTAATTTTGCATTGATACAAGTGAAAAAGTCAGATTCTCTTTTCAATGCATCATTGAAATTGATATACATTGCTAGGATACAGGTCCCGGAAGAAACCATTAACACCTGTATCGTGAAGTGATACAGGTAAAAGCTGGACATGTAGTATCCTGCAAGGATTTAGGTTTAAGTCACACTGTCTGCGGGGTAGACTTGTTGGGCGGCGGCGTTATTATTTTTTCTCGGTGATGGACGCGATTTATGCCGCGGAGGGACAATTTTAACTCTACTTGTGACATCAAATCTGTATGCACCAGGTTAAAGTTAAGACTTTCTGATATGTATATACAAACTATTTACCACAAGTTAAATGTTGATTCTGGAAAGCTAAGGTTCTACAAAAAATGTAAAACAACACATCTATGGAAAAATACCTGAACTTAATTGATTTCAATATTCGCTCTGCAATAAGTAAATTACGAATTAGTGCACACCGTCTCGAAATTGAGAGAGGGCGGTATAAAAAGCTCCAAGTGTATGAACGAATTTGCAAACATTGTACGTTGAATACAGTGGAAGACGAAACGCATTTTATCTCAAATTGTACTCTCTATAGCAATGAACGAAATGAACTCCTTGGCGTAGCCTCCAAATTCTACCCAAACTTTCACAGATATACAGACGAAAGGAAAACTACTCTTCTCTTAACATCTGAAAACCCACAAATTACAGAAAAGTGGGATCCTTTGTGATCCTTTATGAAAATCGATTTTATTGATGGTGACAAGTTTACATGGGCCTTGATATACTAAGTAGTAAAAGAAGAATGGGGCAAAATTGCGATTTTCATTGTGTCATTCCAATGACTCAGGTGAAACATCTGTCGACTGAAGGCTGTGTCATTCCAATGACACAGGTGGAAATTTCTCATGACTTAAGGCTGTGTCATTCCAATGACACAGGTGGAAATTTCTCATGACTAAAGGCTGTGTGATGGCCAATAACACAGGTGAAACATCCGCTGACTTAAGGCTGTGTCATTCCAATAACACAGGTGAAACATCTGTCGACTTAAGGCCGTGTCATTCCAATGTCACGGATGAATCTTCTACCGATAAAAAGGCTGTGTCATTCCAATGACACAGGTGAAAGTTGACTTAAGGCTTTGTGATTCCAATGACACTGTGAAACATCTGACAACTGAAGGCTGTGTCTTTCCAATGACACAGATGAAACTTCTGCCGAAATAAGGCTATGTCATTCCGATGACACGGGCCGGGAAATATCAGCCGTCTTAAAGCTATCTCATTTCAATGACACAGGTAAATAAATCTACTGTTCAGGGCTATATCATTCCAATGACTCAGGTGACATATGTGCCATATTAAGGCTATGTCATTTCAATGACACAGGTGGATATTCTGCTGTTGAGGGCTATATCATTCCAATGAGTCAGGTGACATATCTGCCATGTTCAGGCTACTAGTATGTCATTTCTACGACACAGGTGGAAATTCTCTTGTTCAGGGCTATATATCATTGCAGTGACACGTGAAAAATCTGCCGTCTTTACTCGTCGTTTATTTGTATAACATATAGCTAAGACGATAAACCTACATGTTTGGTTATTAATTTCTAAACGTACGTGTGTAAAGGATAGTTCGTTTTCGCTCACGACAATTGCAGTTAAGGGGTAAATGCAACTTTGGACTACATATTTTTAGATGGAACAATGCCAGAAAGTCTACATACATGTAAACATTTGCTTGACAAGACTGTACAAGTAAAGACGGCAGATTTTTAACGTGTCACTGGAATGATACATGACTCGCCTGAACAAGTAGTCAGGACGTCCCGGTAAAGCCGCGAGTTTGCGTTACACTGTTACAGACTAACACCGAGCGACAACTTTTTTTTTTCAGACAAGTTTGCGTTAGCGTTACACTGTTACAGACTAACACCGAGCGACAACTTTTTTTTCTAGACAAGTTTGCGTTAGCGTTACACTGTTACAGACTAACACCGAGCGACAACTTTTTTTTCAGACAAGTTTGCGTTAGCGTTACACTGTTACAGACTAACACCGAGCGACAACTTTTTTTTTCAGACAAGTTTGCGTTAGCGTTACACTGTTACAGACTAACACCGAGCGACAACTTTTTTTCCAGACAAAAATAGGCAACATTCCAGTAACGCTGTACTTATTCCTGTGTATTACCTTTATTAGTGATAACTAGCGGTCGATGTGTGTTACAATGAATGTAATTTGTGTGCACATCTGAGATGACCCGGAAGTGGATGTGACAATCGGTCTTCTCCAAACCCCCATGCAGAGCGTGAAACAACACGGAAACCTCGCCAAATTGATGCATTTGACGGTCAACTTTGACGCCCCAAATCTCATCTTCAGACCTTTTTTGATATGATCAACTGTCCACTGTGTGATGGTCTGACTTGTTGGGAATACGGGGATACATTTCATGGCCTGTTTTGGTGCACCGTGACTGAACTATGTCATTTTATATATACCATTCAAATGCATCATTTCGGCGCGTAACAGGCATTCCCCGTATCCTGTCTCCCGAGTTACTGTACGTGCTCGCCCGTATGGGCCACGGAGACGAGATAGGTGCGTGTGAAGCATTCAATAATACACAGAGATCTATATGTCTAAGTTACAGTTCGTTTGCATGCCCAGAACTTGTGTAACGCTTAAATGAAGTCTGCGTATTTGGATTTGAGAAGTCGGGTGACCTTTGACCGGCACACACTGGTAAAGGTTTGAACGTTGGACTTGGATTCAGCCATGGGTTTTGCAAGGATAACAAAAGAAAATAGTTTTAAGGTCATACATAAAAAAACTTCCAGTGGTGTAGACTTAGCTTGCAGCAACGTGCATTGTATTATTATCATCAAAGATGCCACAGTTGAGCCTCTATAATTTTAGAAACCTGGCTTCAGGAGCGAATCAATGGAAATAGGCTAAATAGATACAGGTACAGATACAGTAACAGTGGACTCTAACTAACTCCACCAGGTAATGTTATCTGTCTATTTAGCTAATATCTGCTCTTTCCAGCCTCTTCCTGAGGGGTGTCCATAAACGAATTTTTTTTTTTAGAGTACTAGATAGGTACTAGATAGGTACTAAAGTTACAGGTCATCCCAAATAGCTCCTTGTTTACACCTAATTGAAATGAGTAATTTTTGGTTAAGTTCCTGTCCCAAGTGCAGGGCATTGGGGAATGTCAGGGATTGAACCCAGAATGCCTTGTTTCCTGAGCAAGCATCCTACCAATAGTAGGGTACTCAATGGAGTTGACTTCATGATCTTGTTGCAAGGTGAACTTCAATGATTGCTATTATGGTGCTGAAAACCTGTCTCTGTTTCTCCTACACCCCCCCCCCTCACAGTTTTGGCTGATGCGAATTTCCCAACCAGCTCAGTCTGTAGCAGTGGACCAATCCAAGTGAGGGCTGATGGTATGGAACATCAGCTATTTTCATATTATATCAACAATAAAGTCACAATATTGTATTTTTTACATTACTGAATCACTTTTGTCGAGGTCTCTGTATATGCATGATTCTGTTGTAAAATATGCAATGATATGTTTTAAAAATCTTGTACAAAAGCTATTTATCAATGGTAAAAAGGTAAAGGTATAGGACTTTGGTCATATTTTTCAATGTCCTCATTTTTGCACAAATTGTAGGCCACTCCATTCCTGACCTGCTGAAGGCAGTTCTACAGCTGCTGCCGATGGACACGTATGTGGAATCACCGGTGAGTATTTCTTACCTCTCAGGTAGTAAACAAAAATTTGCAGGTCTGTAAAAATGGTAGATCCCATGGCCTTTTTGAGGCTGTACAGACAGTAGGTTGTGATCCACTTTGGGCATTGTATTGGAAGACAGAGCCTGTGTCTATCTCCATTCCAAAGCCTTGACATGTATTTACTTGCAATGCTCAAAATACCATCTGCATGTGCAGGTAGAATTGGAGCTGTGTAGGTATTTCTGATTTGTCTGCATTAGATCATGTGCAGTGGAGTTGCATGTGGATTTTTATTTGCTGTATTGACCATTATCACATATAATGTGGAGTATAGAAGAAATAACAGTTTTTATAGTGATCCATACTTCCTAAATGGTGCAGGTAAAATTTGTCTGATGCAGATAATTTTGATTGTAACCTGTACCAATGCAGGTAATGCAGGTATGCAGAAAAAAGTATTTTGATCCCAGATTTGCCTGATTGACGCCATCTCTGACATGGTGTGTTGACTGTAGGCAGCTGTGATGGACCTTGTACCTGGGGACAAAGAAAAAGGACTGAAAACTCCTGTGTGGGACACATACAGAGAACTGCTGAAGGAGTCAGGCTGTACTGTAAGTAAAGAAAACTTAAGTTTAGGACATAACTGAAGTATATTTATCTGCTAGTATTATCTATTTATACACTTGTGGAAGGATTGACATAACAGGTGACTATCACCTTTTCAAGGTGTCAACCCTGAGACCAGTCTGTAAGGTTTGAACCAGTCACATAGGAAATGACCCATAGTAGGTCCCCTACTCTTTTTGGTAAGTGTGGTGGGATCTTTAACGTGCTTGAGATTTGGCTCTCCTTAAACATGGGACCCCTGGCCTTAAATCCCATTCAAGAGGATGTCCCTAACTGAAGCTAGGTTCTGATTTTCACCTGAGTCGAGTGAGGAAAGTACCTTGCCCAAGGGCTGCACAAGATAGGGGCTTGCCAGGGATTCGAACTCAGAACCTTCAGATTCTGAGTTTTAAAACACCCCCTACCAAACATTGATGGTACTGCAGGTCTGCAGGCAATGATTACCTCCCTGTCATCAACAGTCCGGAATCCATCCTCCTAAAGGCAAAAGTAGGTAGATCAGAGTGGGTATGGCCTTCAAGTCTACATTCCAGGCTGTTACAGTTCCATGTCATCATGAAACATGAAAATTTGCAAACCAATTTTTGGTGAAGAGGAAAATTTACGTCTTTTTACGTTTAGGCACCACTAGAGCAAGTTGAGAGGTTTGCCTTCTACGACAGAGCCAAGAAGGCATTTGCTGTGGTGGCTACTGGGTAAGTAAGACTCAGAGGTTTAGACTATTAACACACTAACACTGTAACACACATCCATATATGAAGGTTGAACTGCCAGAATTTTACCTTTTTGTGCAATAAGGCTGTACAGCACCCTCTGGCAAAAGACATAGGAAGTGCAGCATAGACACACAAACACATATATATACACAAAGACGCACATGTACACGCGTGCGCGCACGCACGCACACACACACACACACACACACACATATATATATACACACACACACACACACACATATGCACAAAGACGCACATGTACACGCGCAGACACACACACACACCACACACATACATACACACATTGTCACACATGCACACACACACAAACAAACACATATGCACACACATGCACACAAAGCCTCTTACAAGTCCCATTCATTCCTCTCTATCTTTTTCAGAGAAACTGCACTGTATGGGAATATCATTCTGAAGAAAGGTGTCATTGCTGTAGATTAAGTATAGATTAAACAGTTTAATGGCATAAGGGAAATGTTGAATCATATGTTACCAGTGATTCTACATTTGGAATTATAGTATTCCGCAGGAAATTAGCTGAAACTTGCAAATTAAGGATTAAAGTGAAACCAACATTTTGTAGTTGTCAATATGTGACATACTTGAGATACTAAATGCTTTTAACTTTCAAACCTATGTTTTATTGAGTTCTTGTGTCAAATTCCAAACTGGTCACTGTGAAACAATATATGGGATAAATTTCTACTAGGAAGAGTGCAATGTTCGATAATATTTGGTAGTGCAATGTTTGATAATAGGTAAAGAATAATATTTGGCACAACTTCTTCTGTGTTAGTTAATTGAATAACTATAATTTTGCTAATTGAATATATTCAAAATGTTTTTATTTTATCCAAACAATGTTTAAGGCTTAGTATAGTTGATCAAATAAAATCATTGAAAATGTTATGCACAGATGTTATTATATCTATGATGATAATGAACAAGATGTGAGAAAATGTTTTGAAAGATTTTATTAACAAGCTAGGGAATAGAAATTATAGCTCTATTCAGACCCATGCTGTGATCAGACTAATTGTCTTTAGGGAATTAATAGCCAGTTTTTACAATCATAACAGATCACTTCATACAATATAGCATCTTTATACTTTTGTCACACACGGTCTTGCATACCTTCTTTGTAAACTACTATATGTATTGAGACGATTGTAAAAAAAACATTTAGAGTCAAGGAAAATTTGCTTTTGTTGTCATAAGCAACACACAAGCCATATCCATGCACATACACAATGTTGTAGATTGATACATGTAGATATGTACTAGATTGATAGATAGACATATACAAATGTATTTGTTCCTTACATACATCAGACTATTAACTAATGCTGTTATTATGTATTATAGTATTGCTTATTCTCTTTGATCCTTATGGTCGGAAAACGCATGCAAGTTTTCCGTCCAACCAAATGTTGAGTGAGCTGCTAGCCTAGCCTCTACCAGAGAGTAGAAACTGGCCAAGTAGACAGTCAGAAAACATGAAATCCAAGTTAGTCTGCTGAAGGAGTACAGTTTGCCGCTCTTGGACCAACTCCCCTGAGTTAGCAGCAAACTCTACTCTAGGTTTTAGTGAAGTAACTCCTGTCTATTTGACCAATTTCTACTCTTTCCAACTGCTGATGAAGACTGGTAGAGGCAATGAGCTGCAACAATCATGCTCAACCCCTACATGGGAGGGGGAGGGGGAGAAGGAGGGGGTGCGGGAGGGTGGACACCCGTCCCTCATCTCCTGGTAGCGTTCCTCCATCTCCCCCATGATCTGCCTGAGCTCGTCCATGCGGAGATGAGGAGGCTCGCGGTCGTGTTCGGGACCCATCATGCGATGGCCGTCCCTCTCACCACCGTCACGGCGCCCCTCCCCTTTGTGCTGCATCACCCACAGGCTCTTCTCCAGCCACTCCTGCCAGCGCTCCGACTTCTCACGGTCACAGTCCTACGTGGGAGGAAAAGTTACTTTTAGATTAATTTCAACTGTTCTGGGTATACACTATGCAACAATGTAGATTTGCCCCTAGCATATGCATGGATATGGATTTGCGTGGAATATCCAATACTGTGCCTAGCCTGAGCATGGTTTTGGATAAAGCACATTTCTAGAAACTATAGTATAGGGCTACATGTAACTGGTGCATTAACACCCTTGTCTACTTAATACCCTCTACCACACGTCGGAAGTGGCTGGAAAGAGTAGAATTGGCCAAATAGACAGATAACATGCCTGGGGAGTTGGTCCACTGAGGAGTGGCCAATTGTACTCATTTAGCATACCAAATCCCCTGGCATGTTTTCTGTCTATTTTGCAAATTTCTACTCATTCGAGCTCATTCTGAAGCCTGTTAGAGGCTACCTCTGCAGCGTACCTCATGCTCGTCCCCATACACACACGGTGGTTTCTCCGCCTCACGGTGCATCTTGTGGACGTACCAGCTGGCGCCCATGAAGATGAAGACGCCCAGTATGGCCAGCACACAGCACACCAGGACCTTACACCGCCCCAAACACTGCTTCCTCTTCCGAGTCAGGCGGCCAGGGCTGGTCTAGGTGTAAAAAGGAAAGAACTACATGTGGTTAATCTATAATTAAACAAGTTTACCTTTGCAGGAGGAAAAGATGTTGTTTTTGCCCAGTTTCTTTCTCTTCTTTAACAAACAAATAAGGTCAATGACCTAGACTAGACGTCCCCATGTCACCATGGTAACTGGTCCTCTACCAGATACCCTGACCCTGTGGCGTTGGGTTACATTTGTTGCAAGTTGCAGGACAGAGCTAGAGGGGCAGGTCACCATATAATAAAATGTATCTATCTATATATCTATCTATATCTATAGCTCTATCTATAGATCTATCTCTATATATGATGAATGATGGTACACCATGCAAGTACCGTCATGACTAAAACTTACTCCTTGAAAAAAATAAGGATAAATAAGAAAACCTCCTCCCCCACGCTTCCCTGTCTCCGAACCTTACCGAAGGTGGACAATAGACCGGCGGAGAAACCACGAAGCTTGGGGGCGACGGGTCGGGCTTTTCCGGCACCGGTTCCTCGGCCATCGTCGGTTCTGCCTCTTTCGCTTTCCCGCCAGTATTGGCCGTCAGCTTCCCCATGACAGACTGACACCTGAGAACTGCCGACAGACGGCAAAAAATGGAATGGTCAGGTCACAAGTGAAGGTTTCTAATTATAAACATTGTGTGGGGCAGTGCAGCGGGTCCTGAATGCCGGTGTTGACGGATATGACGTTGACGGGTGTATCGATTGAATTTTACGAATGCGGGAATCGTCTGCAACAGCTGGAACTTACACCGGACTAACAACAAAGAGTAATATTTGGCCAAAGAGGGAGATTTAGTGGCCAGGGGAGTTTGGCCACCGTAGAGTTCATTTGTCCACGCAGCCTTCTTGATATGTAGCCGCAACTTATCTGTCGACTGTCTGCCTGTCACGCATTTTGTGTCTTCAAAGCAACGCGCCTGTATGACCTTGCATTTAAGAATATCCTTCTGCACACAATTCACCGAACAATACGCCAGGTTCTTGGAATCGCTTCATGAATAATTAAACGCGAGTCTTCTTTGTATTACAGTGTATTACACCTTTCTGAAGTGCGCAACACCAGTGTATAGGAAATGTGTACCTTTCCATGAATTTTGTTTACTACGATTTACCACATTTCTGGAAGGAGTGACGTAATAGGTGACTGAGAGGATCCGGACATCCCTAATCTAAGCTAGGTAATCATTTTCACCGAGTAGACTGAAGAAATAGGTACTAGTATTAAGTACCTTTCCTAAGAGCACAACACGGGCGCCTGCCAGAGACTCAAACCCAGAACCTTCAAATACAGAGTCAACGTCCCTACCCCCAAGATCACCTTGTCACCTGAAATTCTACTAAAATGCTTCAATGTTCCCAGACATTATTGCAGTAAAATATAGCGGCACTGAAGTAAAATACTCGTTAAAGAAGGAAGATTTTATAGCTTGTATGCCCTGAAGCCGGCGTACAAGACTGGTGCACTTAAAAGATATATGTTAGATCATTACTGTACGTACTAAGTACATCTCGCTGGTACTTGTAGCGGTCTTAAATGATCTCATGTAAACACTGCATTCTTAACCAACACATGCAGCCTCGTTCATTTACAAAATTATTCTCAGCTTCTTACCTTGTCTTGACTTTCCTTTCTACCGTGCTACTGTGTGACACCTGGTTCTGTCTAAGGTCTGCTGCGCGAGTGATTTGAGCGCAGACGTATTTTAATTTTCTCTGTGAGGAGAATGGACGGATCGCGTGACTGGCACTATTGTTCGTCCTGTCAGGGCTGGTGAAGGTATTATTTACACCTGCATGCCTGGGAAAGTACCATTGTCCTGTCTGTATATGTGTTTGTGTGATGATGTGTGTTAGGGGCGTTTTCTGAATATCTTAGTCTTTATCATCGAATATTTGTGTTTGTATGTAGATTCATGCATGTAGTTGTATAAACAACTTTATAATAATAGTCTCGGGCTTTGCCTTAGCGTCATGTTATTTCGTTAATAGTATTTAACATTTAAATTGCATATCAATCCATTCAAATGGAAGAAATTCTCGTTATCAGTACAATTGAGCGAAAAGTCCACAACGCTTCTTCAAACAAGGCATAAAAACTTTATTGTCCCCACAGCAATGGTCCTTGAGCATGAAATATTCTTCTTGATGGTAAAGAATTCGAAGTAAAAAAAAGCGTACAAATGTATTGTCTGAAGATGCAAATACACACAACAGTTTTTATTAAAGGAATGCATCTGTAAGAATTACAAAACAAACAAAGTATACGTAACGTACAAAAATATCCTAGCATATCTTCAAAAGCAAAAGGTAAAAATGCAGCATATAATATTTGATGATGAGCAAACGACGTTTCAACCCGACTAGCAAGGTGTCGCAAACTTTATATCCTCATATCGGCCAGGTGTGACACCAAATTTCTGCCCCGCCAGATTTCTGTTTTTCGGGGTAGTGCGCGCGTGCCACCATCCCTTGAATTAAGGATGGTGTTAGTGTAAGACTTAGAGTTAGGATGTAAGACTCTGGGCCTCATCGTTCATGCTAGGGTAGGGTTAGGCCTAGGATTGGGGTTAGGGTTAGGTTTAGTCTCCACACCCCCTCCCACCCCTTGCCTCATTGGAAACCGCAATGTTTGTTCAGTGTCACCAAGGACATTTACTACAGGCTTGGTGTCACTGACGGAAGGTGGTGGATGCTACCTGAAACGTCAGACCGTTTCCAAAATCATATCCAGGTTGTAGAGTAACTGTTTTTGGCGTACTGTTTGTTTGTTTGTTTGTCTGTTTGTCAGGGGCAGTTATTTGGCAGAGACAAAAATCTGGCTGCACACCGGAGGATGTATCCCCGCCGAGCCACCCTAGGGGATGGCCCGCTGGCGGGGCGGCTCTCCCTCCTCGGACCCCGGGGGCCGCGGAGGTCCGTCCCCATCGTCACGTCCCTCCTCGTCCCGGTTGAACCACTGGTTCATGCAGTTCTGCAGCCACTCGTACCACCTGTCGTTCTTCTCCTCATCACAGTCCTCGTCCTGTAATATGCATGGGATTGATTACCTCCTCAAATATATAACGTGATGTAATATAGTATCTTGAAAGTTCATCTGTCTTAGTACAAGGCGTTTTAAACGTCCTTGGTCAGCCTGAGAAGTAATTATGAATCGAGATTGAACGGTAATATTGCACTTTAAACTTGGTTCATATTATTGATGTAATGTAATGAAAATTTAGCGCTGGGAAAAGCTGAAATACTTTCTGGAGAAGGGACGGTTTTGCCGCCTAACAACGTACGTAGCTCCCCGAAAAATTAACGCCACCGCCCCACAGGTCTATGAAGGTGGCTAGAGTACAAACCTCCTCGCGTTCGCGGCTGTCATCTCTCTCGTGACTATCGTGCCGCTCCCCGCTGTCGTGGCGCCCCCTGCCGGTCCGGAAACACGGCGGCTTCTCGGCGCGGCGGTGCATCTTCAGGAAGTACACACCGGTCACGATCAGCGACACCATCAGAACCACCACCACGGCCGCCAGCACTGCCGTCTTACACTTCTTGGAGCAGCCACTGTTGGTGCGACGCTGATAAGAAACAAGAATTTGTAGACAGACCTCTATGAACTACTACTCGTAGTATATAGATCTTGTGTGACGGTGACTGTGTCACCATGATGTCTACAAGTCTTTCTTTTATCTAATATCGTGCAAGGAAACACCAGAGACCTCAGGGCCATGCTGAAATGCACAGACACACACACGCACACACACAAACACACAGTGACACACAAACGCGCGCGCGCACACAGAGAGAGACCACCGTGGAGAGACAGACAGACAGACAGACAGACAGACCTACTGTCAGCCTGACAGACAGAGACTGGGAGAGAGACTGAAGGGGGATAGAGAGACAGACAGACCGACCAAAGCCAATTCTTTTTCATGGAGGTAACTATATAGCCACAGCTGAGACTTCAGAACTCACCGGCGGGCGGTAGACCGGGGGCGCGGACGGCTGCGGCACCACGAAGTGTGTGAGCGGGGCGCCGGGCTTGGGAGGCAGCGGGTCGGTAGAGACGGGACTCTCCACCGAAGGCAGCTCCTCGGGCTTCACCTTGGCGTTGGTCGTCACCGTCAGCTTTCCCATGGCGGAGGGAGTTTACGCTGACGTCCCTTGGAATAGCGTACATTTGATTAAGCCAAACCAGTAATTCACTTATATGCTAAAATCTTCTGCTAAGATCAACGCAGAAGAGAAGAGGACTCGGTCGGGGAAAAGAACTTTGCAACAGAACTGATTCATATTACAGATTGTGTCATAGACTGTTACGCCCTTTCCCACTTGGATAAAATTGTCCGGATCGATCCGAATTGAAGCTGGATCAAAATGAACCAATTCGGCTCGATCAGGACAATTTTATCCTAGTCGGAATGGAGCCTTCTTCTCAAATAGGACTGTTTGTTCGCCATAGCTGTTGCAGTAGGGCTGATGTGATTTAGAACATGACCGTGGTCAATATTGACCGACGGAGGCTGTAACCGTTATATAAATTCTTTCATGATAAGTACAGTTAAAGTAGAACAAGGTTACGTCTGGAACATTTAGCTGATTGGCGAAAGCCTATAATGTAAAAGACCTAAATTTTGCATGAAATGTTTGAAGCTAAAACGTTTGCATGGATTGAAATGTAAAACATACTAGTACCATAGCCATTTCAGTCTTCCGTGATACTACCTGTACAAGACTCTACAATCTGGACAGTACCCTACAATCCCTGCTCCCTTACGGTCACTTTTTAAACCTCCTTGCATTGGCTCACAGTATTTAAGACAGGAGAAGACCGTCTATGTGAGAGTGGAGTCAGCGTCACACCTGCGTAGTCTGAATTGTACGCCATTTTTTGCAGTAGCTTATTTCCTTCTCCGTTCTCGCTTAAGACGTACAAAACGACTACTTGTCAGAGGCCAGGTACCAAACACAACAGGTGCTTACTACCTGTAACCTATACTTAACCTATAAACTTACCTTTAAAAATCTGCTCAGCGACTTTTGACGACGTTTTTCTGGCGTGTGTGTCACACGACGTTTTTTCACACCCGCAGTCGTCCAGAACTCTGTTGCGCACCTTGGAGGAACTGTAACGTAATCTTCCCGTCCTTTTGTTTTCGTCACGACCGTGCGAAGCAACGATGACCTTTTCCCCAGTGGTTTGCCGAGTCACTGTAACCCTACACCTGTTTATGCAAGGTTTGACTCTAAAACCTCCTCGTCGGACGTCTTCGGTATGCTTTATTCGTTGCTTATCATGTGCTGTTTTCTTATTTCACATCAGTTCTAATTGTACCCGGTTTCTATAAGTCTGTCCTACGAGAAAGTGGGTAAAATTTGAACTGATGTATAATCAGAAAACAGCACGTGATAAATAAAACAGCATCTGCCAAGAGGCCTGATTTGGAGGCTATCAAGGTGCCAGGTACTGCCGAATCCAAGATGGCTGTCGCTTCGCTTATGTTACGTTGCATCATGGTCCAGATTTTATGAACCTTATGTTTAGGTTATCATACTTATTGAAATGTTGCCTGGTGTACTAAAAAAATCATCTTCTGCTAACTATGCTGTATCACTCCAACTTTATTTGGAAAACCAAGGCACGTGTGTACAATGTGTACATACTTTTAAGTTTTACACATTAAATGGCAACATGACATGTATGCAATTTTCATCGAGATTTTAAAAATCTGGATCAACGAGTAAACGTCATGCGATTTATTTTCTGGTCTTTGAGTAGTATCAGAGGGAAAACACTAACACGACAGCTGGATCTTTGGAGAAAGAGGCTCGTCAAGTGTTAGCTTTCCGAACGGTCCCAGGTCGACGTCATTCGTTTCTCACTGCTATTCTTGAATAGACACTTTCTGTTGTCAAGTATTAATTACTGATAGATGGATTTATGTTCGCTATACCGCTTGTCTATGGAGCCACTGTATACATGTACATGGCTTCCTTCACAAACGTCTTGGGGCGACGGCGCTTGGTTAAGGGGGAGGGGGCGTTTCTTTAGACGGGCTGAGGTTTTCTAATGCGCCAAAGGGAGCCTCGGAGCCCCACCCCCCCACCCCCCAAAAAAACGCCGACGCTCCAAGACGTGTGCGAATGAGGCTATTGTTTACGCCTGCCTACGCACGACACGAAGTAATCGCATTAAGCTTTTCATCCAACAGAGAGCACGACATTAATATGTTTCGTGTTTATATAATGAACTCCTCTGAGTCTACTGTCACGAAAATGATCTCAAGATCCCATGTGATCGTTTTCATCTGTTTGCAACAAAATTCACGAAAGGAGGGGGACGGAGTAAATTCCATTGCCTCAGAAAAGCAACTATAGGGGTGAAGAGAAGGCAAAACATCGAGGCAAATTAAAAGTCGATTATGTAGTTGCAAAGTCTGCAATATTATGCCGTATATCGTTCATCCATTTCTGCATATTTACGAAGGAACCTACTGTATCCAGAACCGCGTGTTTTATCCAGAACCATACTCAGGCATGGTTCTAGATCCTAACCCTAACCCATACATGCATAGAACTGGATAGCTAGCCACGGTTCTGGACGTTGATAAAACCTCTCTACTAGGCTCTATCTGTGCTGGCGGTGTGGTTCTGCCGGCTGTGCCAGTAGATGATCCTCTCGCCGTGCAGTCTCTCCCACAGTCGCCTCTCCTCGCTGTAGTCATGCGCGCCCTCCTTCACCTCCCCGTCCGCGCGTGTGTCGGGGATGCTGACGTGGTCGTAGTAGTGCATGGGGAATCTGGAACAACGGTAAAACCGTCTGTGAAGTCTACTCTCCAAGCAGAGGTTGTGGGGGATCGTTAGCTTTGTATATATGGCCGGGTTTTTTTTGTCGCTACCCCCACCCGTCTTTGGCCGGCGACCTTCTCTGGCTAATGGATACTGTACTGCCTGGCCAATTGATACTGTCCTTTTTCCACCGAAAGGGATCTGCTTGGAGATTATGTGAAGTTAATGCACTTGCGCTTATGTCATACTTGAGCCGCGATACGGATATTCCGGCCCGCGTGATACTGAACAAGGGTTTATACTCGAGCCGTGATAAAGCTTTGATAATGGAGTTCCGGACCGGGGCCGTACTTTTGATACGACTACCTGTCGACCCTCGTGGTCTACACTAGAGCAGTACCTGCAGGACCAGTGTCTTTCTCTAACATTACAAAAGTGTAGTATGTGGTCGTCCCACTCTAAGTCTTCGAGTGGGAAGCCATTAGATTAGTCTACTAGCTGGTTCTTACTGCGAAAAACGTGTCCTGCCAGGGCGAGCCTGCGTCGTCGCTCTACAGACAAAATGGGCGAGAGAAAGGTGTTGACCTATGTAGCGTATGAAATTGCCTCTACCTTGGGTCATACCCAAATCCGTAGATGTTCACCACGTCGCACAGTTGGATAGCCAGGAACACTGTTACAGCTCCTGTGGTTGGTCGAAGAGACAGTGACGTGTTCATGTAGCTCGCAAAGACGTAACGGATGAAGTCAGGATGGGTAACCTTCATCGTCGTGCGGTTCAGGTTGGTGTTAAGAGTCCTTTTGCACCTACAAATATGAAAATGCATTGTTAGTATATAACGTGTATATGTATATGTATGTGTATGTGTATATGTATATGTATATGTGTGTATATATACATATATGTCAGGGTAAAGACTTCGATCTGGCAGAAGTGCCGATCCCACCGGTAGAGATCCGGATCGGAGTTTTTGATTGATTGAAAGAAAGAAAGAAAGAAAGAAAGAAAGAAAGAAAGAAAGAAAGAAAAAGAAAGAAAGAAAGGAAAAAGGAAAAAGGAAAGAAAGAAAGGAAGGAAGGAAGGAAGAAGAAAATCCCTATATCCAACACAAAATCTTGTTCTTCATTCTTAGTTGTCATAGATTAATATAGAGTTAAAATACACCGATCATGAACGTACGTAGCGCCACAGTGCGGGATGGTGCGGTTGTGCAGCCATCTTGTGATGAAATCCAAGTCTGACGTTTTGAACGGAATGAAGATCTGCAACACATGCTGGAAGAAGGAAGGGAGACTTGACATTCTCATAATTTCCACGTAATGATTCTAGCTTGCACGCATGTTTATAGTAACCGGTTCGACTTGCTTGCTCCCATGTCATATAATGCTTAGGTACCAGTTCCAAACCGGTACCAGGGCCGGCCGGGCTACTTTTAGTATTTTCCGGGTCCAAAAATAGATAAGTCATAATCAACAATAAACACGTATTGTACGCATGGTTAGTAGTTTGTTTTTTTTTTATATCTTGTGTTGGCTGTCTTTTATATGGAAACTTCCCTACCGGATGGTACATGTTTCAAAAAGAGAGAAGAGATCCGGTAGATAGAGACGTAGCACAGAAATGTAACACTTGTTTCTTCTATACTTGTACCCAAGTTATCTAACTTAGTGCATTTGGCGTGAATATGCAATTAATTTCATTGTCATTGTCTTTCTAATATACCGGACTGTAAAAGTGAAACGGTATCCAGTCTGGAACTCACCGAACTGGAGATCATCTCGGTTTTACGATGTGACTCCGGGTAGAAAATATAGAAGGACAACTTTTTGCCGACATCCTTGGTAAAAGGCTCCTGCATGAGAGCATGGTTCACTCTAGAAAAGAAAAGAAAAGAAGAGCGAGTGTGTGCGACATCTTCTGTTTCTGCATTGATTTTCATGTGCATAAACGTTAACGCAGATCAAAACATGATATATATATATTGCTCTCAATATAGTTCAAGAAGTTGATTTTGTTTTGAAGTATTTTAATGAACACACAACCTTTTCGGTGTGTAAGTGCAAACATGTACTGTCCAGAAAATGGTTTGTATTTGTGAAAAAGTGTTTTGTTTTTCCTGGTGCATGAAGACGAAAATGTTTGGGTTGGCGAGTGTCTTGTAACTTGTAAATGACCGCAGGTGACTCCAAATGGACCACACGTCTGGTTCTAGTGACTCAGATTGAACATGATAGAACACATAGTACGTATTGTATGAATGATGTGTATATAGATCTTATCCGTTGATGTTTACCTGAAGACATAGTCGTGCGCGTCTATCTCTTCTCCCTTGTTTGACCCCCTCAGGACTCCTCCTGTCCCCACCACTGCACACCGAACACACGGCTTCCTCTGACGGTCGCCATGGAAACCGAACACATCCGGGTTCTCCAACATACCGATCAGTCGCTCGGTAGCTAAATAGAAATGGTTACTGTATTGGCGAAGTTCTGAATATGAACGTAATTTCCAACACAAGAAGTTGGACTATAAACCTGGATTTTTGACTGTACAACTCCAGTCTGTCAAGGAATGAGCAATCCACTGCTTCTATGACGATAGGTTGCTCATTCTTTTATTGTTGAAACAGATCACTTCACTACGTTATGTATAAACACTGAGGACATTTTACACTGATTGTTTTCCTGTTTTGCTGCTCCTGACATGATAACTCAAACTGTACATATGATATTGATATGACATGTTGACATCATGTACTACTCAGAAGAAGATATAAACCTAACCGTTTCTGTCCTTGTTGGGGCTGAATCCGAAAGGCAGAGGCCAATATGCACCGAGATGGGATTTCCAGTAGGAACCTTCCAGGTCATCCTGGTCCATGAAAACTTTGATGTCTTCCACGAATCGGTCCCTAAACCAGGGGGACGAGTTGACTTTCCAGCGGAGACTATCGGGACAGACCTGGCGGGGCGCGGGGAGATGGTTTGCCATTTAATTTGCCTCTGTGTTACAATTTGTTGTTTTTATTGTTTTTAAAAATGTACAGGCACTAGAAAGGTAGCATTTGAAAAATTTACATACATACATACGGTCTGGCTTAACAAACTGCTGCAATGTTTATTCTTATTCAAACACATCCGTATACATGGTAACCAGCCCCTCCAACTCTAGATCTGTCCTGCAACTTTCTACACAATGTAAAACCCGTCCCAAACATGATAGAGCGGAAACCAGGCTATCCGTTACTTTGTACTATCTGCAAAATAATTTACAGATATGCGCTCACCGATTTCTTGTGGTGTTGGTCTTTGGTGTAAGGTACATCTTCAAGGTGGGTCTTTTGTAACACAGGCGGCACCAGGTTTTTTAAGATGTTTTTTGGCAACTGAACTGATACATTTCCATATCTGTCTTCTTCGGTTTCTGAGATTCTATCCAACAATTGCTGTGAATAAAATGGTAGACGCTGAGTTAGCTGTGAACTTTGTTTCGACGTTTTCTGTCATGTGAATGAAAACCAAGCAAATGTTAGGAGGGAAGGACCGTTGAATGAAACCAGAAGTTACGCAATTCTTTACTGCACGAAACCGGTAATTAACCATCTCTTCTCCTTCATAACTAGCTCATAATACATTACAAGTGGGTTACAGTTGTTGAGCAATAAAATGGATTGATTGTGTACATCTAAGCCCAGTCTTATTAGCATTAGTCAAATTCAAGTCACAAAGGTGACCGATTATTTGAGTCATCACACTAACACCACCCATCCAGCTATTCCCATCTTGGTCCCCGGCCAGCTTTTTAAAAAGTTTTTATTGTTGTTCTAGTGATAATGCATAGTCAATGCACATGGTAGGCCCCATCTTAAAGCGGCCTGCTGAAAAATTTCCTCAGCCCCTACATACATTATCACAAATTTGTGTATTGATTTCAATTCCTTCTCACCTTATTTTTCAGCTCTGACCTAGCGTACAGCAACACTTCACCCGTTTCTCTGAAAAAAAATTATAATGTATTGTACACCCTACAATGATAAAAGCCTATTGCTGCTTATTTTTCTTTCCGCTTGTTCAATTGATTTCAATACGTTAGATCCTATAGATAAATTCAATTACATTCTCAGGGGAGATAATTAATACAGTTTTCAAATAGGAAAATACATAAATACAATATGTATATATATATATATATATCTTGTACGTAGGATGACGTTATCTACACATGCATTTAGCTTTGTTAGATCTTTAGTTGTAGAATACAAAAGTCCCTGTACTTTTTGTTGTGCCAATAAGAAATCTGTATGATATATTGTTTTATTTGTGCATTATATATATACATGTATTACCCAAATCAATATTTCATCCTGGTTTATTTCAATATCCTGCCAATTGCAATATGGTCATGTATAATCTACTATAAACACCCCTGATGAGATCGAACATAGTTCGGTTACTAAAAAGTGGTGGTTTTGGAGCCCAAAATGAAATATGATAAATATATATGATCACTACCTTTAAGGACACTTTAAGACACTTAAATGTAGCGTAATTATCAATATTTAAGCTTACTTTACAGTGCTTAAATGCTGCTTAAAAGAGTGCCATTAAGCACTTTACGCGCACGCACAAACTTAAAGCTAGTTTAAAAATAGTATTTAAGCACACGTAAAGATGGCTTAAATTTGCTTGAAGAGTGCCAAAACGGAACCTTTAAGCGTGCTTTAAGACTGCTTAAATAGTCGATTTCGTGCAGTGATATGACAAAATGTTACTGATACTAAGTGATAGGGGCACGGTTAAGTTACAACCTCCACTTGTAAATAAGTTGTTTTATATGGTGAATATACGTATGACCAGCGACTTAGGTCTACCCTGCCCCTCTCCCCTTTCGGCTTTGTTAATCATACATACCGAAAGACACCATGATAAATCTCAATACGGTACCAAGTAACGTTAGTACAAAATGTACCTCATTGCCACTGTCTTCCCCAAACAACGTTACATTTTTTATCAACATTAGACAAGGATCAAGGACAATATGGCGTTACAAATTTATTTTATAACGCCGCATACAATGTTACAAACCACATTGGAGTCGATATGTCCAGTGCGTCTCCCTCCCGTTACCAATGGTTGTAACTGACTAGTCACTATTTACGTACGATATAACGTTAACTTCTAAACTCTCTTCTCAGATCGACATGTGCTTGATACTAGGCACCCCTATTGCGATAGAACGTTCCACCGGCAAAAGTCCATGATGGGAGCTCCGAAGCAGAGAGGAGGCAGCGTGCCGACTCCGGGCATAGACTGTGAGTCTCTCAGTGAACATTTCGCATCCGTCTGGTCAAGTGTAACCCGTAATACACCCGGGATTTCGGATGTCTCGCATCAGCTTTCTGATGGTATAATACCGGAGCTGAGTATAGGACAAGTTAAACTGCAGCTTAAGAAGGTCAACCCACGTAAAGCTACCGGGGATGACCACATACCGACTTGGGTCTTGTCCACTTTCCATGAGGAACTTGCTCCTGTACTTTGCGGTATCTACAACTCATGTTTGCAACAGGGTATCTTCCCTTTACAGTGGAAGTCAGAGATGGTTGTTCCAGTGCCTAAGACATCTAAACCAAAGGGTCCTGAAGAATACAGACGGATCTCTCTTACCAGCTGTCTGGGTAAAGTGCTGGAATCCTTTGTTCGTACGCTGCTACAGAGGGACACTGATCACCTGATCCATAACTCCCAACATGGTTTCAGGCCAGGGAGATCGACTGTATCAGCTCTCACACAGTTAACGCAAACCTGGCATGATGCGCTCAACAGCAAGCCGAAAATGGATGTACATGTCTCGTTCGTCGACTTCAGTCGCGCGTTTGACACGATCGACCACGGTAGTCTTCTGCGTAGTCTGGCAAGAATGGGAATCAGACGGGACCTGTGGAGTTGCGTGAGAAGTTACCTGAGTGACCGTGTGCAGCGTGTCCGGTGGGATTCGCGTATCTCTGCCCCTCGACCAGTGCTAGCTGGAACACCTCAGGGAGGAATCATCTCGCCATCTCTGTTTGTCCTAGCTATGAACAGCCTTGACAACAACATCCCACAGAGTGTTACACCTGTCAAGTACGCAGATGACTTAACGAACTCGGAACTTCTTATGGGATCACTACCAGGTCAAATGCAAGTAGCCATAAATGAAGTCGACACTTGGGCTAAGTCCTACAGTATGGCAGCAAACGTAGGAAAAACCAAAGACATGGTTATTAGCTGTCGTAGGGAGTCTGTGATTCCCCCTCCACTCACGCTCAACGGAGAGACTATAGAGAGAGTTCCTGCATTCAAACTTCTAGGGGTGATCGTCAGTAACGACCTGTCGTGGGGTGCACACGTTGAATACATGTTGTCCAAGGTCCGACCTCGCCTTCACTACTTGCGACTGTCCAAACGAGCGGGGCTTCCAGTAGACGTTCTGTTACAAATTTACAAGACATTTGTCAGACCAGTGCTGGAATACGGATCACCAGTGTGGGGAGGGTTACCTCGCGGGTTGGCTGACGAGCTCGAGAAAGTACAGAAAATCTGCTGCAGAATCATTGGAATTCCTTCCGGTCAACCGCCGACCCTGGAGGAGCGGAGACGTGAGGCATCCGTACGTGAACTCAGGAGGGTGATGGCGGATGACACTCACCCTTGCCAGCAGTTCCTTGAGCCGGGTAGACGGACAACCTACCAACTACGCCGTCAGACTTCCAGCTACAAGATACCACTTAGCCGTACAGAGAGACATAGACAATCATTTATCCCCAGATCACTCAACATCTTGCAGCAGTGAGGGACACTATAGACTTTTTAAAATCTGAAGGACACTATAGACTTTTATAAAAAAATTTATTGCCTCCTTGTATTTGTATTCTTAAGTTGTTCCACTCAATTATTGTCTATATTTTAATGTGTTATCGATATTTTATACAATACGTCATTATCGGATATTTCTTTTAACACTAAATCTTTTTAACGCTAAAATGTTACAATTGTTATTATTAATATGGAATTACATGTGACTTGCAACACAATTCAGGCTGTTTCAGCCTGCAATGTTGTTTTGATGAATAAAGTTTCAGTTTCAGTTTCAGTAAATGACCAAAAACCTGCCGTAAGTTTAGTGAACGCTTGGGTGCAAGGCGCTACACTGAAGTTAGCCTGGATGCCAGACCCAAATCACATTGGACACAAAATATCTCAGTGTGCACACTGAGATACTTTGTGTCCAGTGTGCTTTGGGTCTGGCATCCAGGCTACACTGAAGTGAAATACACAGCTGTACAGCTTTTATCATTGTGATCTTTATCTGTCAATATTATAGCTCATGTTGCGCGGGTTTTTGGTAAAAAAAAATATTACCAAAGGTATGTGCGTTTGCATGGAACATAGGTAGGAATTAGAACCCCTCCCGTTACCCTTCCTCTTGATAATCATACATACCGAGAGACGTATAGATCTTCGTTCGGTAACGAGAAGTTATCCCTTGTGTATTTTGTCACTCTTCTGACTAAACAGTCCTGTCAAGATTCGGCATTCTTACCTTTCTAAGCCAGTCGCCTTTTTCAGAACTGTCCCAAGCCAGTCCCCACCGATAATCTGTGAAACGAATATGAAGTATGCCGAGCCCAGAATCTGTAGAAAGAGCGCTTGTAAAATGCACCTCGTACACGGCAATTTCGTACGTGGCATCGCAACGTATAATCTAAGCTTACGATAAAGACACAAATTATTCAGATTATTGCCGCTATTTCCTGTACGCATAAAACCAAGGCGCGTCCGATGTCCTGTTGTAAAGTTTTCTACACGTTAACACAGTATACTACCACTAGCCTCCTTTTCAGGCGTTCCGGGATCGGTCATTTTTATTGGGGGGGGGGTGCTCATTTTCTGTTCAAACGTAAATCGCACGCAATAGAATCTTCGGCCGCCAACCCTAGTATGCCATCCTTACCATTCCATTCCAGGGATAGCATACTAGGGTTGGCGGCTGGAGCTTCTATTGCGTGCTATCTACGTTTGAACAGAAAATTAGGAACATCCCCCCCCCCAAAAAAAATGACCGATCCCGGAACGCCTGAAAGTGATGGCAGACGGTTGAGCAGAAAATTATACCCCCCCCCCCTAAAAAAAAACGGGACCTGAAAAGGAGGCTAGTATACTACCGTCTCGGATATCTCCTATCCAGACGCCAGGAGCTAGATCTGCGAATGAGATACAGGTACTTTTAACTTTATTCCGTAAACAACAATAACCCGGGGATACAAGCATTGCAACTGACAAAACCGAATACTGGGGCGTTCTTGATCTGATTTTGATCCACGAGGTGCCATTTTTACTCGTCATCTACTGTCTAGTAGTTTCTAAGTACAGATTGTAATGCAATCGCGATGTTTTTCGCTACATCTTGTTAATCTGTTAGCAAGTTACTACTCGTACAAATACTAGCTAGACAGAGTCACCCCTTTTTTTCTTTTATGCACTTAGACAGGCCCCGCATGACTGCGTACTTAAGGAACACACGTATAAGTCTGACTGCCCATAGAAATTGAGCTTTGCTTGTGATTTTTTGTCGGTTTACACGTGTGCATGATCACATGCACACGTGTATTAGGGAGTGTGTGGGGTTTTTTTTTCAATCTGAGTCTGCCAAACAGCAAACTACAGACCGGATATTCTGTGTACGAATTCTAAATTTAGATCAATTTTTTTTATCATCCCATGACCCTATATCCTTTTGTCGAGTAATAAGTATACATGTGCGTTCACAGCAAATATTCTCCTTCCCTTTCTACCATACCTGTTACACACCATTAATAAAAACGGAGAAGAAACAACTTAGCAATTTTCCCATTTTTTTTGTTGCAACACTAAGCACGTACATGCATAGACAATGCTTTTCATGAAAACGCCAAAATCTGAATCTGTCTGACCTATTCAAACCAACTGAATAGAGACGTCACAGGTTTAACACCAAACTAGTATATCGAGAATATTATAAAACCATATTTTGACATAGCGATATTCCTTGAACGGTAGCACTGAGCTCACGACACACAAGATAGAATCCACTTTTAAGATTCCGAAGGAGATGACAGGCTTATAATCGATCAAAAATGTCATTAATCAAATAAGTCCACACATGGTACAAGAGACGTGGCCACAAACAGCAGAGCATGTTCACACACTTTCCATAGCAATGAAGCGGACAGCAGCTTCTGACCGCCATGATTTGTACATATTTTTTATATGTAATATGTCAATTTTGTCAACAACGAATCAATGGCCAAAATCAACATAATTTCATGTATACAACCTGGTACATTTTTCTTCATTTATCGTTAAGTTCTTTTCATTCTTTTTGAGTTCTCTTACGTGAGAAGTTACATACTTAATGGAGATTATTGGTATTCGTCATAATCGAAGGGCTAAAAGATTACTAGATAGCCAGAAACGTTTTAAAAGCTACGGTTCAATATATAACACGCAAACAGTAGCCTCTAACAGGCTTCAGAGCCGGCTGCGGCAAATGTACTCGTTTAGCGGACTAACTCCCCTGAAATGTTGTCTGTCTATTAGGCCAATTTCTACTCTTTCCAGCCGCCTCTGGAGCCTGGTAGAGGCTACACAACCAGCTGCTCCCGCCTACATTTCGACGTCCCGACATGACCTCACGATATCAGCCTCAATTTCTACAACCGAGTTCCATAAACCCACATGATATCCAATAACGACCCTGCTGGTCCGCGTCCTGTCCGTCTGCCTCCCCATCCTGCTCATCACTGTCTTCCATGTCTTCCATCTCGTCGCAGTCTCTCCCCTAAGATTATAAAAAGAATCAACTGGCATGTTAACTTGAAGGACCGTAACCGGAAACTAATTTTGTTTGTTCGGAATTATTTTGATGGTTTCAATTGAGTCGCGACATACATTTCTGCGACGAATATTCGTTCGACATATATATAGTCAGACTTGTGCACAACAAGTGTAACAGGTACGGTTTATGGCCAGTTCTTGAGCAAGGCTACTATCTACGCCTTTGCCCACCGACCCCAATTTTTTCTCGGGACTGACATCGGAATCACACCATTTCCCCCAGGCCATACCATGCCCCCCCTCTCTCCGCTCCCGCGGCAGCCATGTTTCCCCGCCATCATCATGTGTTTCTTCCCCAGCAGAACGCCGAGCACGATCAGCCCCACCACCAGCACCGCGATGACCGACAGCAGGGAGACGGTCTTACACTTCTTCGGGCACCGCCTGGCGCGAGCCTGGGCACGGGACAGATATCAAGGTAATTACATGCTAGTATCCACCAGACACCTTTGCAGGCTGAACAGATTTCCTATAAGATAGTCGTGCAATACTAGTACTATGTATCGTACGGAATTCTGTTACATCGGACCTCCCATTTATGTCATGAACGGGAGGACGTCCCTTACCGAAGCTAGGTACTAAATGTATTGGCTTTAGCCTAATTTTCACCTGAGTCGAGTGGGAAGTAAAATACATTTACCAACGCAAAACACTTCCGGGGACTCGAACCCAGAACCTTCAGATTCTAAAAGTAGACAACCCTAAACACAAGGCCACCTTGCCACCTAGCTTTAGCCTCTACCAGACTTTATGAGGCGCCTGGAAAGAGTAGACAAGTGCAACAAGCTGTACTCTCTGGCGAACCAACTCCCCGTATGTTATCTCACTCTCGTTGGCCAATTTCTACTTTCCAGTCGCCTCCCAAAGCCTTGTAGAGGCTAACCTAGCTTGTCGAAAGAGTCAGCGGTACTGACCGGTGGAAGCCCCGGCACTGGCTGTGGCATCACGATGTTGGTCTGCAGAACAGGCTTGGTCGGGAGCGGCTCCAGGGGGTAGGGAGGGGGGTCCTCCGGGGCCGTCTTAGCTCCAGCCTCTGTCGCCAGCTTTCCCATGGCGAACTGAGAGGGTCACACCGGTCAGTCTTTGCAATTTTAGGCTGTAAAAAATCAGTTTAAACATGCTCCGAGTTAATCTCCAAGCGGGCCTTTGGTGGCTGCAAGACTGTATGAATTTGGCAAGATTAATTCACTAACCTTATCTTTCAAGCTTACGTACACCAGAAAAAAAACAACCACTGACAGCTCATAAATCTACCAGCAATCAAGAAGCAGGCATAACTTATCTACTACCAGAACATTGAAAGTTCTATAAGCATGTAGCAGTAACGGGGTATTTGGACCACATTTACACTGGAAAGTAGTTTTACCTGTTATGAACTAAAGGTTGGTGTTTCCCCCTTTCCTTTCCTTTGCACTTTCTCTCTGCTCCTGTGTATTTTCAAGTGCGCAATCGGCCGCGGGAGGCAGTCTTCGTGAAACCTAACCACCCCAATCTGACGGGCAATCAGGCAATCTGATTGGCCCTTCTTTAGGGGGTCAGAATGACGTTGACCTTCTTTTATGCAATGGCCGAAAGGCTGTCGGTGTCTGTAGCTTTGTACCTGTATGGCTCATGGAAATCACGTGATTTTGCCGTGTATTAAATTTCAAGATGGCCAAAGGGGTTCATCCGCTAGAATATCTGAAAACAAGTAACTAGTATTCCAACGTCAGGAGTTAGGCATTAATGTTGTCTGTGTGATACGAACTTTTATTTCATCACTGTCCTTGGCTCAATATGCAGTACTTAGCTTCATTTCTATGTTTAGCATATCTACGCGTAACGTGAAATATTCCACTTCTATGTCTATTGTATTGCGAATACAAACATGTATGAAAAGGAAGGTACAATGATATGAAGGTCTACGTGATACTACATTCTACAACATACGTGATACTAATTTTGTTGCGTTTGTCTTTTTTTTTTCAGGCAGTGGGAGACGAATTTACCCACTCCGTCTATGATACTAGTATGTTGGTTCTTTGATTGTAGTAGTAAATTGTTTTCTCCTGATAAGGAATAGTGGGAAAGTAACGGTGAATAATACCATAAATACCAAGCAGTGTAGCAGATCACTGTAATCGCGTACGCAACTACCACCAAGGAGGTCATCATAATCCTCTAGAAAGACACAAAACAAAACAAAATCGACAGATATGCATTAAAGAAAGTTTATTTTCCATGGCCTGGGGTGACGTTATTCTAAGCCACGATCTATACCTACACGTATGGCTTCTCCACGGACGACGCTGGGGGCGTTATGGCACCACGATATCCGCCCCGAAGTCCACGATATCCACCGTATCTACCATGTCCATATCCATGGCCATATCAACGATATACACCATGGCCATATCCACCATATCCATATGCACCACGTACATGTCCATATCGACGCGCCTGAGTCATGTCCTGTCCGTCTGCCTCCCCATCCTGCTCATCACTGTCGTCCATGTCATCCATGTCTTCCATCTCGTCGCAGTCTCTCCCCTAAGATTACACACAAAAAAAACAGCTCACATGTAAACAAGGAACGCAACCGGAAAACGTTTGTTTCGGAATTGTTTTAATGATATCAATTTTCGACAATTCGGGACGAATATTGCCAAATTACAAACAGTGTAACAGGTACGGTATATGGCAAGACTACTATTTACGCCTTTGCCTACCGACCCCAATTGTTTCTCGAGACTGACATCGGAAACATAGGTCTTACCATGTCCCCCCTCTCTCCGCTCCCGCGGCAGCCATGTTTGCCCGCCATCATCATGTGTTTCTTCCCCAGCAGAACGCCGAGCACGATCAGCCCCACCACCAGCACCGCGATGACCGACAGCAGGGAGACGGTCTTACACTTCTTCGGGCACCGCCTGACGGGAGCCTGGGCACGGCGACAGATAATCAAGTTACTGATTTTTCCTATCTATGATCTCCACTTCATGTCATAACGAAGAGGACGTCCCTAACCAAAAATAGGTTCATGCACTAATTTTCAACAGAGTCGAGTGGAAAGTGAAATGCCTTTACAAAGGCAAAAATTAAACCGTGCCAGAGATTCGAGCTCAGAACCTTCAGATTCTGTGTACCATTCAGAGTCGACAATCCTAACCACAAGGTCACCTTACCACCTAGCTTGCCGTATAGAATCATTATATAGTTAGATGTTGAAGGGTTATGTACTAGGTGTAACAAGTCGTTCGGTGTAATGCATATAGCCAGCTGCCACCGCGTTCCTGTGAAGCTGGTGTGTTACACCGAAGGGAGGTTATACCGGCTATACAGATACAGATACAGATTCAGTACTGACCGGCGGAACCCCCGGTACTGGCTGCGGCATCACGATGTTGGTCTGCAGAACAGGCTTGGTCGGGAGCGGCTCCAGGGGGTAGGGAGGTGGGTCCTCCGGGGCCGTCTTAGCTCCAGACTCTGTCGTCAGTTTTCCCATGGCGAACTGAGAGGTTCACACCGGTCCTTTTTAGAAATTTGCGCTGTAAAAAATGACAAGTTGAAACATACTCCGAATTACTGCAATCTCCAAGTAGACCCTCGGTGGCTGCAAGACAGTATGAATTTGGAAATGCACTCACTCTACCTTTCAACCTTAAAGTTCCAAGTTTACGTACAACAACACGAGAAGAACGAGCACAGACAACGTCATGAATCTACCTGCAATCAAGAACCATGGAGGTAAAAAGAGACAAGAACCAAGCATAACTTGCATTTGGAAGTTCTATAAGCATATACGAGTAGCGGGAACGGTGTAATACGTATTTGGACCGCATTTTTACACTGGAAAGTAGTTTTACCTGTTATGAACTAAAGGTTGGTGTTTTCCCCTTTCCTTTGGCTTTGCACTATCTGCTCCTGTGTATTTTCAACTGCGCAATCGGCCGCGGGAGGTATTCTTCGTGAAACCTAACCACCCCAATATGACGAGCAATCAGGCAGTATGATTGGTTCTTCTTGAGGGGGTCTGAGTGACTTTGACCTTCCTTTATGCAATGGCTGAAAAGCTATCGGTGTTTTTGACTTTGAACCTGTATGGCTCATGTACATCACGTGATTTTGCCGTGTATTGAATTTCAAGATGGCCGAATAGGTTCATCTAGAATATCTGGGAACAAACTATGCCAACGTCAGTAGTTAAGCATTAATGTACGTAGTCAGCTGTCTGATACGAACTTTCCATCATCACTGTCCTTGGCTACGTATATACATGTAGTACCTTTTCTGTGTTCAGCGTATCTACGTGTAACTTGAAACATTTCATATCTGTGTCTATTTCTTTTTATTGTAAATTTATGTAATAAAAATCATAAACAATAATCCATGTGACAATTGAAACTTCATAACAAGATTTATTTCTAGACTAGCAATATTACAAACGCGCAAAGTACCGTTCCCGTTACATCAATTAGTGTAATACATTTGATGTAAGAAATGTTAAATCCCTTTCGATATAGGTACCATAGAAATATATACATCCGTCTTTTAACTCTTACATGTAAGGAAATCTACAGCTTAGTTTTCCATTCAAAAAGCAATTCTTGTACGCCAGTAGATATCTACAATCTTCCCGAGAATCAATCAATTATTACTGTCTGATGTTAGAATCGTTCTTCTGTGAAAATTGTATGCACTGACACAAGTCAGCAATATTGCATATAAAGCAAAGAAACGTTGGCAAATCTACGAAACAGGCGTCGTTTCTGTCAGAAGCTTTCTTTAGAATTCAATTACCGGATATTTACGGCTAATTAACATCAAGTCTTCTCGTTGCAGGTTTCCAATGATTGAGTCCATGCATGTATTAGAACAAAGTGTAAAACAGAATGGATATGTCCGGAGCACACTAGATGAACTCCCTTGGCAGTGTAGTTACCTTATGATCAAGGCACTTGAGGTACTAAATAGATGTAGACTATTCTTTGTTTCCCGGATTCAAGCTTTAAGCAGCATCTGTTGTATCCAGAACCGTGCTTTATCCAGAACCAGGCCGTGCTCAGGCAGCGTTCTGAATAGTCCACGCGTTTCTAGAACCGTGCCTGGGGCAAAATTACGTTCTTGAATACGAGGAGACTATCCAGAACCGCGTGCCTGATTCTAACCCTTCAGGCACATAAATGTAGAACTAGCTAGCCTCTACCAGGATTCGGGAAGCGTTGATAAAGAGTAGACATTGGCCAAATGGACAGATGATATGTCAGGGGAGTTGGTCCGCGCTCTGAGAACATATTGCCGTTCCCGAGCTTGCATAAAACTAGATAGGCACGGTTTTGGGTACGAAAGGAGGTGTCTTTAGGGGAGGGGTTCGTCGGATGGGCGCGGCCTGGGCGGATAGGGACGGTGAGGACGTGGCCGCCAGTGCCCATGTTCCTCGCTGCTGCTGCTGTCGTGCCCCGGGCGGTGTTCTCCGCTGTGACCGCCGGGACGGTGGTGCCCGCTGCCGGGACGGTGGTGCCCGGGGTAGGGTCGGTCTCCGCCGGAATGGGGCTTGTCTCCACCGCTCATCAGCTCGTCCCAGTCGCCGTCGTCCTCTCCATCCCAGTGCTGTGTGAACACAATAACAACTTTGATTAGTCTTAGAACAAAATAGAGTAGGGTCCAGCCGTTATCAGCTAGTCTCCACCAGACTAAAAACGCGGATTCTAAACCTTAAATATGGCCAAATTTGGAGAATAATTGTCCAAGCGAGCTTTGCCACCGTGTATACGTAGTTCATTTCACTTCACAATTGCCCGAATCAAAAGAAAGAAGACTGTTACTGAAATGTACTCCTGATACTCCTACCAGGCAGATGCATCTAGATCTTGGTTGGCCGACTGTGAGAGAGAGATTCTTGAAAAGCACTTTGGTCATGTTCTTTAAGATCCTCACGAGTCACGAACCACAAAATATTTACAACTCCCTTTTGCCTGTTCATGCATCTCACAGTCATAATACCAGATCTTCCGCACATAACTTTAGATTACCAATACCTAAGTCCAACAGCAGAAAACGCTCATTCCTGTATCGTGCAGTCGTGCTCTGGAACGATCTACCATCTGACGTTAAGACACTGTGCGATGTTATCAGTTTTAAGAAAGCCGTTTCAAACAGTAGTAGTGTCACCTGATCCTTGACCCTTGCTCGCCACTTTTAAATTGTTCATATCTATGTGTATTTATTGTTGATGTGGTGTACATGTATGTATGTATGTATTTTTAAATGTCTCCACTATGTTGTAATTGCTATAATGTTTGAGCCTTGGAAGATTAGCCCTTCGGGGCTAAAAGGTTTCGAAATAAATGAAATAAATGAAAGAAATTCATTATACGAAACTCAGAGGGCGTGGGACTGCAATGTCATAAAGAAGACGAAGAAAAAAACGCAAAATTTGTTTCTGTGAAAATATCATCATGGTACAACACAATAGTATGCAGCTGGCGGTTCGGCAGTGTGCACAATTTATCGAAAGTATCAACATACATATATATACCTTTAAAGTTATCCGGCTTACTCAACATTACCGCTGTTTTGTGAACCTTTAAAACGCCCGGAGGTAATGTGGCATGGCCGCTCGGTGGCACGGGCTGGTACCAAGAATTTTGGCTAATTTGGCTCAAGAATGCCGACAGACCATTGGTCTCCAAGTCGGTGATTTAATAACGATCCTTGCCAATCAACAGGCATCAGTAGATTTGTAGCGTTAGTTGAACTATATTGTAAGACTAGTGGGCGGAGTTAAAGAAACTTAAGTTGATATCTGTAGTATTAGCTTTTCTTTTGAAAGTTTATTGCAACGTGTTGCTCTTTTGTCACAGGGTTGAATTTAAAATATCACTCAAACAAAAAATGTTCATTTTCAAGATTAAAAAACATTTTCAATATTCAAATGTGTTTTCAATATTATCAATAAAGCATACGATTACAGAAATAGCTCTGTCAAGGAATCTCTGTCATCTCTTAATTTCACAAATCTTTTAAAAAGTGTCGTTGCTTTTCCCTCCCTTTGTCCGCACTAGTGTTTGCGTGCCGGTCGGTTCTGCCTGAATGCATATGACTGCGTGCGCGCACGGTATGCAGGGAATGACAGTCTGCGCCAGGTACGGTGTGGTACCACCACGACATTGGTGACACCAAGGTCAACGTTCGCACGAACAGATAAGAATTGTGCATATACGTTTTTTTAATGTCGATATCTGTAAAACAATGATTGTTCCTTTTTGTTCCACATTGTACGCTATTTATCAATTCCTTTTGATGAGCGTTATTGAAAATCCTCAAGTCGAATGCCAGATTGCCAAAACAAAAAGAAAAAAGAAAAACGCAATGGACTTTGGAGCGCCCGGCGTCCTCATACTAGTTTTGTGCTTCCAGAGCCTTAGACAAGGCAACTTCGGTTATCGTTAAGCGCTGCTCAGCCTGCCTGAATTTACTGTTAAGCGTTATCGCCCCTCCTGTATAAATGTTGACATTAAGCGTTGACAAGATTCCCCCATGCAGACATTCATAGAATGACATCGCATTACCCAATGCATGTAGTGCTATTAACATGTTTTACTAGTTAGGATTCTAAGTTTTATTCAATATTTCTATTAGGTGCAATAAAGTTCTTCTATAAAGATATGACGTGGTCCCCACTCACGTGTTCGTCGTGGTCGCGGCCGCGGTGCTTCCTGAGGTACAGCGCGCCCAGCGTGATGGAGACGCCGACCATCAGCACGATCAGCACCGACAGCACGGTGATGCAGCAGCGGCGGTTCCTGCGCGGCGGCGCTGCAGTTGTGATGGTCACCGGCAGGGGAAGCTCCGTCGCGTCCACCTTCTGGGGCAGCGGGGCGGTCGGCTCGAGCTGCACGGCCGCAGGTGCTGCTGGCTCCGCCGCCGGCTTCTTCTCGCCGGGGTTGGTGGTGATCTTTCCCATGATGTCCTGCCGGGAAATAAGGCCACAAGTGTCAAAAGAAAATCATCAAGTTCAACCACGGTTCAGCGGAAATACAGTGCAATACGATTCACGAGCACTATGTCCATTTGTATTCATTTTTGACAAGACATTTGTTATTGTAATATAGACCAATACTCCTCTGTATCTCTTCCAATTACTAGTACCTCTCTATGTTATATAGCCTTATGAAGGATCGCTATTCAAAGGGGTTTAAACTATCAGTTTATAGTAGCAACAGATTGAGATGGGATCTGTATCTGTCAGCTGCGTTAACATTATACCACAGGCGTCATGCATGAGGTTTTAACTCTGGTCTTGATTTAAATCGCGAAGAAACAAAACATTTATGTATATGTACATGTACATGTATGTATGTATGTATGTATGTACGTATGTATGTATGTATGTACGTATGTATGTATGTATGTATGTATGTATGTATGTATGTATGTATGTATGTATGTACGTATGTATGTATGTATGTATGTAACGTGGCTGTGTTTTCATTTTATGGCGGATGTTTGTTCTCTCGAAATGTTTTGGTCTGTTGAAAACTCAGTCTATCTCAGTACAATGTAGCTTGGCATTTCTTTCAGAACATCCTTGGTAATTTCATATTCTGATTTCAACGCTGTTCACACCATCAACTAGGTATTAATTCCATGTCTTTTCTTTAAAACTGAAAGTTTTCTAGCTCCACCTACGACCATAAAGGAAATTAAGTTTTAACCGTTTATTTAAAGACATCTACATTAATGATACGCAACAACCCCCTCTTGTTCCTTCTAATTGCCAGTTTATAATTAGTAATCTTTGTGAAAACAGGTAGTAAAGACGGGGAATTCCAACCCAAATCCTTGTTTAAATCAAACAAACATGGGAAGTTTCCGATTAGTCGGTTGTAACGTCCCCTACCACCTGTACTAAGAAACCGTATCGTTCTTTTCTCCATTGTCTCACTAGAGTCGCGGGGTTTTGAAATACTGGACTTTGGAAGAAAGGGGGTCAAACCCGTTCTAGACAGACTAGGAAGGGACCTACGGTTTACGTTTCAATATGGCGCAGTACACAGAAATGCTACCAAAACTAGAAGCTTTTAGTAATAGTATCGTCAAAATCCAGTCTTTCCCCCCAAACGTTACCACATCGTCCATCGTCTTCCCGGCATATAGATAATGGGTGAATCAATGTTATCATTTGTGAAACTTCAAGCACAAAATCTGTCATCATAAGTTGAATCTAGGTCGAACCGTACCGTACTGTCACCGCCTTTTAATAGTCGTTATGATGTGCATACGTACATGTATACGCAACGTAAGTAGTCAAGAAGAAGGTGTATATTGTGGTCTTACCTCACGACACTTGTCTCGGTACTTCCCTCGCTGTTACGAGTCCTGTCGGTACGTGTTCAGTCGTCGGACCCCGGCTATCTTGTGGGCCAGGGAGTCTTGTGGTGTCGGTCTGTAGTTACGAAGCCCAGATCCGTACCTGGCACTGCGAAGGTGCGCAATCAATCATGCATAAACATTAGGAGCCCCGGCACGTGAATATCGGGCAGCAGATCGTTGTACCCAGTAGCAGTGTGGACACAATGCTCGCTCCCGGGCGGGGGTGATGACATCATGGGTTGATCGACCCGTGACTTTTGTTACCAGTCGGGACGTCGCGGTGTGACACCGAGGCTGGGACGCTTTTGTCTGGCTGGTCGGCAGGTATTTGGTTTACCTGCAGGAAACAACATTGGCCTTCTTCACATGCAAATAGATTCCGAGAAGCCCTTTCAAGCCAAACGGCTTTGGGGTACTTCGGAAGTTTGAATTAAAGAAAACACCGTAGTTATAAATCTAATAGTACAAGAAAGGGAAATTTGGGGATTCTTAATTGTTAAAATTAAGACTTTTTTTATTCTTTTTTTAAAATTCTGACATAGTATGGTAGTTTAGTCTACTTCCAGTACTATTCATTCAGTGTATATGTGAAACAACATGTAATGTCATAGCAGACGTTGGGCAGTGAAGGACTCAGAAACGTGGGGCGTTCAGAAAGATGAGCGATTTTCCACTTCTAAGTCTAACATATCTGTTTGGAGATTAGTGAAGCCCTGGTTGTAGGAACGTTATATTTTATTTACAGCAGAACCAATAGATAAACAAAAAAATTAAAAAGGTAACGTTAGAGATACTAATATTCTCGATTTTGTTAAATTCCTTGTGTATTCTGTGACTTTGCTGGCCAATAAATTCCCCCGACCAATTACTGGTATCGCTGCAGCCTAACTTCGAACCCGCGCTAGCTGTTATAGTCCAGTAGAGACTACCAAAAATATCTCGACTGTTAACTTAATGGTTCGACCTTCACCTGAGTCATGTTTTGTTCAGTAGAAGTCATGGCAAATACCCAGAAATGTTGACACAAAAGCAGGAAGTCAAACTTAGCGATCTAGATAACACTCCGGGGGCGGTAGGGGTTTAAAGTGCCTTGCACAGGTAATAAACTTGAAAGGCCTTTATTGTACGTTTATGCTTTTACAAGTCTAAGTGACGTTACAGGACGCGATGATAAAAAAGAAGCAAAATTACAGTGACTCATTTTTAGAACATGATAACTTACTACAACTACCAATACTAATGTAAACTACATTAGTCTTGATAGTACAGGTTCAACTTCTCGCTTCTTAAGACAGTTGTAGGTGTCGACGGTAACTACTACCAGGTGATCCCAGGTGTATAAACCTGTAGCCTTTAGTACCTTCGTCAGAAGATTATTTGTATAGATAGATTAACTGAAGAAAATTAAAAACATGTGATTACATACAATGGAGAATATGGAAAAAGTCATCATGAAAATATTACGAAATGTGAATCGTGAAATAATGTAGATAACATTAATCCATACATGGGCAAATATCTGAACAGTTGAGCGGAATGATATTTGACAGAAAAAGGTGATTGTCTCAGACATCCCTAAGCCTGGTAGAGGCTATTTTGAAACCAAAGACTGGTAAAATCCCTTTAATTACAGCCAGTTAAGACGTAAGTTACGCTGCGTTTAAGTGCGTTATATGATTATTTCATCGGGTATAAAATACAATGTAACTTCAAAACGGATTCCTCTTTCAAACGAATGGACTAGCCCAGTGACCTTCGACCTTCAAACATGGCGGCCCACTGGCGGATTTTGGCCGTCGTAGCCGTGATTTGCTTCGGTTTGAGGCACGTTTTCTTTGCTGGTCCCTAAAAACTACACCAAACGGCTAGCCAAAAACTCTTCTTCAAATGCGGCTCATGTTTAGATATCTTTTCTCCAACGTCAAGCTATGAGAGGCCGTGAATTGGCGTGAAGGTAGCTAGGTGGATCCGCCCCCTTCCTGTTTCAAAACGTACGTGCGGACAGACGACTTTCGGTAAGAATTTACTTGAATTTTATCTGAATTATAAGCGCCAGTAGGCTGGTAGCCCCTGTGGTGGTAGTTTATTCCATGCCTGTATACTAGTAACTGGCACGCAGAACTTCTTGAATTGCGTATATCCAGTTTAAAAATGTGTGGCAAATTGTTTACTATAGTTTTTAATATCGATGTTCTCTGGTATAGGAGGCCATAAATTGTGCAGACCTGTGAGAGATGTCTGGAAGCGGTATCACGGCGTCAGGTGAGCAGTGGCTGCGGGAGATGGAGGGTTTCCGCGCCAACCCCACAGCCTACCTGGTGGGCAGGAGGATGGACGAGGAAGGGTTCGCGTTGGATGTACTGCAGGTCAGTTCTGAAACTTTAACAAGTAGTACAGTAGGGGCATCATCACTGAATAGCTTTAAACAACGCTTGCTGTTAGATCTGCAAAGGTTCGGTGTAACACATAACAGGTCCTCCTGTGTAATGACATGACTATGACCATATGCATGACATTGACATCCAAGATTCCCATGCCAAATGAGAAGATTTAGATTCCAGGCCCCTCCCAGTGCCCTGTTTTAAGAAGGCTGCATGAGCTCAGGTCTTAGCCTTTTAATCTTTGTCTGTGGAAACTCTCTTTGTGTTTTCCAGGCACTGTACTCAGATGAATTGTCAGATACCATCAAAGTGCAGTTACTTGGGCTGCTGAAGGAAAGGGTACGTACCTGAGTGATTTTCATGTCATGACGTCAATTTAAGTTCATACACAAAAATGGCTATACATTATTGTATTAGTATCTGTACACAAATGATAAATAGTATGCAACTGTTATACATTATCAGAATCTACTAAATCTTAACATTATAGTACATATTATACTATCTCAGATAGTATAGTATGTACTATAATGTTAAGATTTAGTATTCACAATGTCATGTAACAGGATGAGTACTAGTACTATAGCTATTATCTATTGACTTATCTCTCTCCAATCACTTTTTCAGTGTGGAGTGTTGTTAAGCACCAACACAAGGTAAGATCTTGAAAGATTTTCTTTTCAAATTTCTTCACAAAATCCTACTTCATTTTTCATACCAAATCTTGATGAGACAAGCCTTAGCTATTTGATAACCCAAGTTATCACACAGTCTAGAATAATCATATCAAATGTTATCACTGCCCAGGTATGACATAACTTGAAATACATCACCCTCTTGTTCCCTGCTACAGTGTAGAGCAGACAGTTGGATCTCTCACTGGAATCTTCCAACAAGCTAATGTAGACACAGCAGTGTTCTTCAAAGGCCAGGTTAGTTTTCTCTTCTCTCACAGACTCTAAAGACTCCTCTAGACAATTTGGTCCCAAACTCCTTGGTGCCTATTTTAAATGAGTGAGATTGTTGAGCTTCTAAGCATTTGGCCAAACTTTCAGTGGTCTTCCAACGATGGTCACTTTTAAATTATTTTTTTTCTTTTTCAGGTTCTTGTGGCCATAACAACTATATTAATCACAAGAGATCAACTGGTAAGTAATCTATTTTTAAAAAAAAACGAAACATTTTTTATGTGGAGGGTGAGCTCTCAAATCCTTGATCCTGTTTGTGAATAGGGGAGGGGATAAAAGACTCGGGAGCTAAAATAAGTTTGGCAACTAGGCTATCATTGACATAAAGATAGCTGCAGTTTTCTTCTTTCTCACTAGGTGGAGCAGCCCCAGTTGGTGGAAGAGTTTCTCAACACCCTACTGGATGTGGTCGGTAGGATCAACAGTGGGCCTGACCAGGTGCTGAGGGGCGTGGCCTGCGAGTGTCTGCGAGAAATGGAGATGTCTTATCCTGTAAGTCCCTGCTAAGTTGCATTTCTTCAGTAAGCTATTCTCTCTACTGTCTTTATGTCAATACCCTGCAGCCTTATGTCCATTTATGGCTGATCTTACAGGGTTGATGAAATACAAATTATATGAAATAAAAACATCTGGCTCTGAGATGTTTGACTTGAGATAGCAATTTTGAGATACATGTTTTTTGAGATAGCAAAACTTGTATTGTTTTCGTCAGCATCCATGGATGCCACCATGTTGGATTTTGACTTTGCTAGCCTGCTATCCAGATCCTATTCTACATGTAGCTCCACTTTACTCTTCCAATCACTTCCCTGCATCCATCAATAGAAAAACAATTGACATTGGAATATTTAATACATTATCTAATATAATTGTAATTGAATGTTTCAGGGTCTCCTTATGCGAAAAGTTGGACACCTGTATGCCATGTGTGAAACTGAGAACACTTTTGTAGGTCAGAGCTATATGGTAAGAACAAATAACATTTATGATCATTCGAATCCTTTACCTCTTGTCGGCTGATATTCTGAATGAAAATACATTAAAACAGAACTTATTTCAACATATATGTTAATGGTTAATATGTTAATGTTAAAGGTGTCAATCCTCCAGAGACTTCCATTCTTAATTAATTCTTACAATTTCTGTGTTTTACTTATTCAGATGCTGTTTGTGACTGTTTTGAGAAATGCTATGCAGAACATCCTACAGGAAACAGAGGTGTAAGTTTTGAAACATCAATTGATTTGTTTTATTATATTCTTTTTTTATTATAAGTTTGGCAATACATTTATGGAATGTCATCTCCATAATGGGACCAAATTTTGGTGTGGCATCATGTGGAAGTTTCTATTTGTTTTATTTCAGGACAGAAAAGACTCAATTGACAGAACTCTTGGCAGGGAGAGTGGAACCATTTAAGGTAACAAAAGTATATCTGTGTGAACTAAAAAATGGTACGATGACCTGTAAATACTGTTTACTAGTAGTACTAGCATGTCCCTTGTTGTCTCTGTCACGACCAGTGAAAGAATAGCTCTAGATCTTTTGTGAGATAAATTGGAGTTAGATCACCTTCATGTTTATAATGAAGTTGAAATGTTGTTGGCTTTTGTACATGTTTTCTTTGTATTAACTGGATGTTTACATCACCTTACAGCCTATATGTTTGCCAGACAAGGTGGACAGCAACACATTCCCCTTGATACAAACGGTGAGCTAGCTTTCTGCATTGTATCTCTGCATACAACGTTTTCAAAAAGCATGTCAGCAGAATGTACTGTACCCATGCAAAACACAAATTTTTCACTGCTTTATTTGAATATACCTTGTATCAGAACTTTGCCTGTTACAGACAATATTTTTCCATCACAACATTTGATGTCACATGGGATGTCATCCTTAAATATGCTAATAGGACCTTCTAGACATTCACCCGAAGTGCTATGTAGAATACACTGCAGAGGCACAGTACATTCTGCCAACATGCTTCTTCAAAGTTTTCTACTATTAACTCCATTTCACTGCAAACAATCAAAGATGAGATATTTCAGCTAAGATTTTTTGTGTTGTTAACTTGCTTAGGAAAGAGAGCAGACACCCAGTGCTGACACGAAAGGGTTGGAGAGTAAAGAGCTGAAGAGTGTCATCTCGGTGGTTGTGGAGCAGCTCCCCCTGCTGACTTCTGCTGGAAAGGCATTTGTGCTGAGGCAGCTTATCAGCTGTGTGGACATGTCTCCTGGCCTTTCAGCCTCTGTAGGTTAACCGTTAACACCAACTATTCTGAAACAAAAACTTTTAGTTTTATCTTGAAATTTCATCTGTGTTCACTTGGTAGAATAGCCTGGGTACCATCCTACTTGTATGCCGGGGCTCCCACACTCGCTTCCCTAAGAAGTACTTCTTAGGGAAGCGAGTATGGGAGCCCCGTTATACAAGTAGGATGGTACCCAGGCTATTGGTAGAAGTCTCTACGAAGAAAGTTTGAACTGCAATTTCCAACACAGGAAATTGTCCCTCGACTTTGTCTTTTTTTTTATCATTTCAGACTTTCAAGTCCCAGTTCCTGAGCCATGTGGCCACAACTGACATCGGACTGTTACACACAGTACTGCAGTTAAAGGTAGGAAAGCACAAAACATTCTGTTTTCTACTATATGATAGAAACTGTCAGTAGTATTGGTATTTTGCTGTAAACTTCTTTGTTTCATCAAAACTGCTGTCCTTTCTATTTTCGTCATTGAATATTTAACTTTTAAGGTTCATGAGCATAAAATCTTGATGGCAATCAAATTTTTCAGTTACTATACTATAATACTACAGCTGTATACCACATCATGATACTGTATTACTATTTGATACTATGCCATACATGCACTATACTGATACATTTGTACTAAATATATACTCTCTCTCACTACACTGTACTAGGCTATACTGCACTACATTGCACTAGGCTATACTACACTATACTATACTACACGTCACTATATTTCACTACACTATACTACATGTACACTACACTACACTACACTACACTCTACTATACCCTCCAACTGACAATGCACTCAAAGTCAAACATTTCTCATCTCCTTGACTTCAGACCCAGTTTGGCGCAGACCTACTGAGTGACATGGATGAGGACCTACTGGTGAAAAGACTGCTGACATTCGCTAACCACCCGTGTGTACCAGTGTTACAGAGGTTACTGTGCTGGCACTGGATACTACACTACACCACTGACAAGGAGGTAAAATCACAGTCGTTTATAATGGCAAAGATGGTCCCATACCCTTTTTGAGGCTATAGGGACAGTAGGATGATGATCCACTGTGTCTAGAGCCCATCTCTCTCCTTCCACCACCTTTTACCCCCAACCAAAGTCAGGTACTCAGTTTACACCTGGGTGGAGTGAGGATAGTTGTATAAAGTGCCTAAATTCCTAATACATGTAACACAATGTCTTGCCAGTGATACCAGGAATTGAACACCTGACCTCTCTTTCTTGTGTCCACTTGGCCATTCGACTCCACTAGTCTTATATACTGCATGCCACAGGAAGTTTCTAAGTTGAAAATTAGTTTAGCTCTTCCAAGCTCTTCATTTTTGTTTAAAGTTTGTCAGACAATCAGTTTGGTGCCCTATAAATTCACAAAAACTCTTATAACACCGGGTACCCCTCTGAATGTGAAATCTCTCAAATTTTCTTCTCATATTTTCATTTCAATCTTTTCATTATTTCAGGCATCAGGAGAGGTAATTCCTGCTAGGATACATGGCTCGCTGGTCACTCAGCTGTTCCCACAGATCTTTGACCACATGACAGAGATGGTGACCAAACTCCGAGCGGTCAGTCTGTACTATGCAACCAACACACCACCAGGTAATGTGGAGAGCTCAGGTGCAGTTTTATTGATATCAACTTGTATTTATGTTAACCTTTACAGAAGGACCAGGCAGCTGTCACCATGGTAACTGGTGCTGTAGGAGACAACCTGTGGTGTTGGATTACATTATATTGTAGCAAGGTGCAGGACAGGGTTGGAGGAACTGGTGTCACCATATACTAGTATAGAATGTGTTTGATTAAGAGTATTTAAAAACAGAGCATGCGCAGTAGTTTGTTAGTCAAGACCATATGGACACTTGTTCTCTCTAATGCAAAGAAATATAAGATTCATATGGTCAGACATGTCAAATTATTATCTTAAGAAAAAATTGAACTCTAACCTTCAGCCTTATATATACTGTTGTATTTTGTGCAGACTCGTCCCTGCAGGTGTTGATCGACAGCCTGGTGTGTGTACAGAAGTCAGTACAGCAGGGGGTTGGGGGCAGGCCGGCACTAGCCTTGTTCCAGGCTCTGTTCCAGTACTACAGGCAGCACCACAGCCCTGCACTGGCTGCTGAGATACAGCGGTAAGTTGTGGCCTCAAGATAGACTATGTAGGACACTCTTTTCTGCCAGTGCTTTTTGTGTATAGCCTTCTACAACCAGTTTTGTCAATATAGGGTTTTTCATTTTAAATCTTATCAGGCCAGAAGATGTGACAGATCTTATATAGAAAGTTGTTACTGAATGCTAACCTGGCCATTAAAAATGTTGATTTGTTTCCTCTCCTGATCCCCAGCCTCCTGCTGGATGTTGTCCTGTTCCACCCCAAGTTTGTAGCACACACCATCGACCTGCTGGACTGTGTGGAACAACTCACTCCTGACAGGTCCGTCTGCATTCTCTTCCAGATCAAATTTGCAGTCTTAAGTAATGTATTTGTGGCATTTACACTTAAAGATGCATTTATCTACATGTATAGTGAGGGCTAGATGCAATACATTCCATACAGTCTTTAAAACATAGCATCTGTATAAAATCTTTGTAAAGTCTCATTGTTAAGATGTAATCATATAGGGTTTAAATGGTTTAGATGTAATACAAAATACAAAGTGTCTTTAAAAGATAGCATCTGTATAAAATCTTTGTATTGTCTCATTGGTAAGATGTAATGATGAAATGGTTTTGTACAACTGTTCCCAGCCCCATGCCTGTGGAGATCCTGGGTGCCCTAGCTGACCACACGGTGAAGTCAGCCCCTAGGGACATCATACAGGACCTGGAACACTACCTGATGATTCTGGAAAAGGCCGCTTCTATGACACAGATAGACCCTAAGGTACAAAAATTCTGGTTTCAAGATCATCTAGTACAGTAAAAGAAATGGTTCGTTTTCAGAGGAGCATTTGAGTAGAAAGTTAGTAGAAAATAGTATAAAAATATATAGTCTTAAAATAGAAATTTGTTACAAAGTATAAAGTGAGTACACAAGAAAGTTGTTACTCTGGCAACTGGATGGATTTTGACACTTGCTAGAGTAACAGTTTCCTAGTGTATGTCATTACCTGGATGTCTAACCTTCACCAACGACATATAAAGTGAGCACTCCATTTTACTTGATGACAATGGAAAATTCTCAAGGCCTTGCTAGCATAGTAAATAAATACAACAATAGTATTCTATTTTCATGAACATTAAATAAATACATTGCATTACAATACTTTTGTTGAAAAGTCATTACTAATACTGTGAAATGAAACCACCGTGAAAATTGATTAATTTACAGACTATTCCCATGAATGCTAATTGCTGTATACCTGATGTTCCAGCCCACAGTGTTGTACCTGCTGACACTGCTCCAGACCACGCCTCTGTGTGAGGAGGGCAGCTGGCACCGAGGACACGCCCTGCTGTCTGTGTGTGCTGCCGTCATCAGGAACCATCACAGTGCACAGTACTTCAAAGGTTGGACTTGATTTGATTTATTCTCCCAAATTACACATACCTAAAATAACAAGAGTACCAAAAAAACATGCTGGGGCAGAAAAGAAACCCTGAGGCTTGTTCAGTTCCTCCATTTCAATTAACAACTAACATATATTGTTCTTTACACTATGTATTTGCATTCTTACGTGTTCATTTTACACCCAAATGTTCTATGTTTTGATGGTGATGGGCATGGCTTTGGGATCAGTCTATTTCTATGCTGACCTTTGAACTTGTCTCATTTTTGGAACAGAGATGGGGGATGTTCTGTACACCATGTTGACCTTGTATGATGACCTTGATGTTCGGGACCAGGCTCGGCTCTACTACACCCTTCTCACTAACCTGTCCTTTGATAAGGTGAGGGCTGATATTAGCACAACATGGGAGTCTGTAAAATAACATAGCAAATCAACACACAAAGAGACATAACTGTGGAATGTGGAATATACTTGGACAAACATGTTACACGTACACAAACCCACAACTCATCAGCAATCCAAAACAATATTTCCATACCCAGAAGTAATTAGTTCATCTCACTTATTGCCTCTAAAGATTGAACTTTCAGTTTTAAGATCTGTCACATTTTGAGTTTTATGCCATCAGAAATGAATGCTGTGAATAATGTTGTTGCCAATTTTAGGCTTCCCTGTGACAAAAAAAATGATATAGGTCAGGTTCATGCTATTTAGAAATGATTGGAAACAGTGTATTTCTTCCTTCTGTACAAACACTAATTGTTGACAAGTGTATGTTTTCTCCCATGAAATCCTGTTGTGCAGTTGTCCACTCTCCTGGCTGTGTCAGCTGACAACCGAGCTCCAACTGCCACCAGCCTTACCAAACTTGTCACAGGTAATGTACTTATCATGAAATGTACCAAGAACACAGATGAGCTTTCATGCTAATATACCCATAGTCACAGGTTACGTGTTATCCTTGTCTAGTACTTTCTAAATTCTACTGTAATGAACAAGGATTAACTGTACATCATTAAGTCATGAAATCTGATATGTTTTCCTCACCTGTTGTCACCTGCAGGTGGCAGCACCTTCCCACCTGCTGCACCTGTGGTACAAATCACACAACCTCTGCTCAAGCTCACCAGGTCAGTGTCAGTACAAACATGTCATCTCACGTATTCAAGCATTAAAAAACGTAAAGGCAGTCCTGTAGCCTTTTCCAGGTCATAGGGGTAGTGGGTTTTGATGCCCAACCAAAGTCTGGTACTCATTTGAGTTAGAGTTTATTTGGAACCACAATTAGCATATATATAGTTGCTATTCTTCCTTTGGTCCTACATACGTTCTGACAATGTAGTTATTGTTCCAATTTGTATTGTTTCCACACAGAGTACCTGATGATATTGGGTTTAAGACAGAAGAACCAGAAGAGTCGCTAATCAAAGAAGAAGGTATGTTGATTAAGTACACTGAAGCTAACCGACATCTATCACACTACAGTTGTCCCTCAGTAAGACATCTGGAGCTGCATAGTTCCCATTTAGAACTTTTATTCACCCAGTCTCTGTCACGTCGAGCAAGGTTGGACATCCAGGTAACACAGGAAAACAGTTACTCAAACAAGCAACAGTGGATAAATTTCTATCAGTCACTGACAAAAAGTCATAGATGCTACTTGAAACGTCCTACAGTTTTCAAAATGATTCCAGTTGCTAGAGAAACTTGTTTTCTTAATCCATCAATTTATTTCACTTGATGACCAATGTAAACCAGTGTTGTGCTCGTTTCCCACAGAATTTTACTTAATGTGCCTTCCTCAATGTCTTACCTCTACAGACTTGTTATCTACCTACCTTGGGAGAATACAGGCCTCCACAAATCAGCCAGCAATCCACATGAAGTACTATCTTCACTTTGTGAGTATCTTAATTTTGAAACATCATTTTATGTTCACAGAGAATCTTGCAGCTTGATTCTGTTCCCTACCCATTAAATCAATCAATCAATAAAATAGATAATAAATTTGCCAAAAGACCCAAAATATAGTGCAGTAATTATAGTAAATCTATGTACTGTTTTTTCTTCTTAAGGACCCAGAAGCAGAGTCAGACTACAGCAGGTTGTATGCATTGGTACTGCATGTACAGACAAGCAACAAGTATGCACAAGTCAAAGGTGTGTTACTTTTCTTACTTTCTATTTGTTTGAAAGGTTGTTTTGTTGAATTTTTATGGCTCATATTTTGAATTTTACATTGTTGCTTACTAGTAAGTAGTTAACTGCAAGGAACGTACAAAATTTGATATTGTGATTAGTAACAGTTTTAATGTTTCACCTGCAGTTTCTTTGTGTAGCACTAGATGGCGCTTCAAAGCTGTTACCGGTATCCACTGTTACAGTAGCTGTTAGGGCCTATACAGCACATCTGTAGAAAGTACTGCACCTGCATGAAATCTGCATTTTTCACAGTTTTTCTTTGGATGTATGGTCAACGTTGCGTTAGAATTTTGCCTGTTGCAGACAATGTCTTCTCTAATACAACATTTGAACAAGATGTTCTTCCAAAGTGCTACTTTATAAACAACAGTTAAAACTGCATTACGGGTTTAATGCACGCACAGTACAATCTGCCGATGTGCTGGTCTTTACCACACCTCATTATTACTTAGTAATCATGAGCAGTCACAAATATGCCATATCAAAACCCTAACCCCAAGCTGTTCTTATTCCCTACAGACACCTATGTATCCTGCATCAGTAGAGAGGACTGTCTGAAACCTGAGGATGGGTGTAAAACTGTTTCCCTGTCCTTCCAACCCCTGGAGCCAGTTCCTACACAGTTCACCACCAGGTACTGTATCGGTTCTCTTTTGTAGTTATCATAAATTGTTACTTCACCCCAAGGGAGTCTGATATTGTTTTTTGCCTCTTTTACTTCAAGTTTCTCTGTTTGTGTGTTTATATGTGTGTGTGTGTGTGTCTGTGTGTGTGTCTAGTGCATGTATGGGAGTGTGTGCATTTGTGTGCATCACATGCAGTGCATGTGTGTGTGTGTGTGTGTGTCTGTCTTAGTGTTTCTTACGAGTGCCATTATACACAACGCAGCGTTGCTATACATCCTCAGTGCTGCTATTTCTTCAGCTCATGTCTTTTTTGCACCTGATACAGCTGCGAGTTCAGCACGGAGGACGGCAGGACGTGTGCGGTGCACCTGCCAGAGCTGCAGCTGCTGTTCCGAGACCTGTTCCTGCCCCTGCCTGTTCCAGGTGCCCAGAGGCTGCAGCTGTTTCAGCAGCTGTGGAAACACATCATCCAACAGCAGGCAGCTGAACACAGGTAACTAACAGGTGCTACATTAGGGCTGGAAATACCACCTGCATATGCAGGTTAGTACAGTTAAAATTGGGACTGTGCAGGTATTTCTGAAGTCTACCTGCACCTAACCTGCACTGGTCCATGTACTGGGTATATGCAGGTTAGTGCAGTTAAAATTGGGACTGTGCAGGTATTTCTGAAGTCTACCTGCACCTAACCTGCACTGGTCCATGTTCGGGGTTTATGCGTTTTTGTTCGCTGCATTGACTGTTACCACCTACAAATATAAAGTAGTATACGAAGTATAAAAGAAATAATGGCAGTGGTTTCTGAACAGTTTTTAGTATGATCCATGCTTTTCCAAATTCTGAGTGGTGGTGGTAAAATTTTGTCTGGTGCAGGTAATTTTCAGCATTACCTGCATCATCAGTAGATGTCTAACCTTTATGGACTTGTCTGGTTGTTGTCTAGCCCAGAGAATGGCTGTGTGGAGTCTGTCTGCTGTCTAGCTGTGGGCTCAGATGCTGTGGACGGCATGTTGGAAAGAGAGCTGGGACCTTTCCTTTTGAAACATGAAGGTAGGATACATGTTACGTGTTCTAGTCCAGTCATTTTTATGCTGAAAGTATGTACATGTATGACAAACCTTAGGATATGTGTATTTTGTGTTCAAGTACAGCAATTTGGTGTAGCAATTTGGTTAGAGGTACTGTACTGGTACTGTGGACATGCAGCATTACCACTAATTGAGCACATCGGCATGCGCCAGTATGACCATATATGAGATGTTCTGCCGAAATGCTATGCACAATACATTACGGGTTTCACGCAGGTGCCGTACGTTCTGCCAACGTGATCACTGATTGTAACAATTTTCCCAGATGACGCCCACCTTGTCGGGATCCACCTCCCCCCACGGACACATCTCCTCATGAAGGTGAAACCCACAGACTCCACAGCCGTCGTTACTATGGCAACAGACAACTGGAGGATTCTTTCTCTCGTAAACAGTTATTTACATGGTCTAGAGAAGTCGGGTGCCTGATTTTCAGACCAAATATGTGCAATGTATATGTAACTTGGGCACCTGAACCCTCGCATTACACCCAAGTGACCTGAAATTTAGTATGGAGGTACTTTGGTCATATGACCACAGAACTTCATTCAAACATTTGGCATATAAAATCACTTAAGGTGGACTTTTTTTGCTACTTTCAGACCAAAAATGTACATTCTGTGCCCTAAGCTATTTAATAGTCATTCACTCATGTTGATAGATCACAAGTTTTGTTAGATTTCTGAATATTTCTTTGACACGGTGTAGGACAGAATTTTACAATTTTTGGCAATGTTTTATGATGTAAGATCTGAAATATTTTGAATTTCTTTCTTGTGCTCTTATTATGATAACACATGATAAGCCTTCAAATTTGAAAGAGAATGTATATTATATTAACCACAAGTGTTGGTAAAGTATCAGTGTTATTGAAAACAATGTATATTCTGTAAAATACTTATTCATTGAGTTAACTGTGGGTCATGGTAATGCAAATTTCATATGTTTGGCAATAGTCAAAAGTGCCACCGCACCTATAGAGACTTATGGTGGCTGTCACAACTTGTGGATATTTCCGCGACATGCCCCTCTCTCGGAATATTAGCACAGACACCAGCGCAAACCAATTAGCTCCTATTACAATCCTGTTTGAAAAGCTCTGCAGATGGTCGCCAATCGATGGGCTTAATTGACCTCTTCCCTTGTCCTACCTGTATGCTGAACAAATGCAGTGATTGCTGTGTGTTCACAGGGCTCGAAATACATGTGCTTTTTTCTTCATAACTATGCTGGTGCATGTAACATTGAAAATTGCCTGCACCAGACAAATTTTACCTGCATTGCTCAGAATTAGTATAGATAATACTAAAAATTGTTCAGAAACAAAATCCACATACATCTACAAGTATAACGTTATATAAATGTAACAGTGGGGGGGTTTATAGGCACTACCAACTGACCCGGCCGACGGGTCTAGACCTTTTAGCGGAGAGGTTAGAGTGTCTGACTGGGACCTGGGAGATTGTGGGTTCGAACCCCGGCCCGGGACCAGTGGGGTTTTTATCGGCTCCTCCTGTTTCTTACATAAACCCAGTACATGGAGGGTTATAGGTTATGTGCAGGTAGACATCAGAAATACCTGCACAGCTCCAATTTTACCTGCACTAACCTGCATATACCCAGTACATGGACCAGTGCAGGTTAGGTACAGGTAGACATCAGAAATACCTGCACAGCTCCAATTTTACCTGCACTAACCTGCATGTACAAGTTATATTTCTAGCCCTGGTGGCTACACGCTGTACCAGTGACAGCCCAGAAGGCCGGTGTATTTACCCAGGACATTTGCCTGCCTTGTGAAGAGGTGTGCACTGCTGTTAGCGGGTTTACCTCGCAACAGATTCTTCCTCCCTCCTCCACACAAGCGCGGCTCAGATTTCTCAGCTGTTTGTTAGTTTGTTCAGGGCTTGGTCACATTCACCATCTATGTATCACATAATGAGATACAAGTTATGCAATGTGAATTTTAATTTGCATAATCAATTAGCCCTATATTTATATACGAGTACTAGTATGTGGCAGAGACTGTCATAGGATGGTCCAGCCAGAGCCAGACTGTTAACAATTAGGATTTTACCATGGTCAATACTGACTGAAGGAGGCCATATAGTAATCAATCAGGAAACTGCAACATTCCTGTGTTTTCCAGAATATGACAATACACTGTTCCACGACCTTTGACAAATGATAGTAGTAAACTAGTACTGAAATGTAACTGAACAGTTACTGTCAGTAACATGTCAGTAAAGCAGCTTTAACTGTCATAACTCTAATGCCACCATCATTGGAACAGTTATAGATGTGGCCTACATGTACAAACATCAGTGATCTTTTGCCAATAAAGACATTAATTACTGGATCACTACACCAATCATTTCTTTGTATCAAGTTAAATGTGTGCCTTTTATTTGTGTCTCTCCAGCTTTGCGCGTTGTGAAATGGACATTGCACGGAGGACCTCTAGCGATTTACGTGCGCGCACTAATACAACATCCATGCGAAATGGATAACGTCATTTACTTTTAGCCAGCCATTGTTGTTGAACTCGTTAGAGATACTTCGATGTTGATTACTGAATACTTGATGTGTTTTCATCGAAATTGAATGAGTATTGCCTAAGTGAACTCTGTGCAAGTAAGTATACATTACTTATGTTTGCAATAATCAGAATGGACAAACGTCATTGTATGTTATACCGTCTGGCTACGCTGAATACACGGGCAAACTGTGATTTTTTTTTCAGCCAACTTAAAATCCATTAAGCTAGGAAGCGTATTATTTGAATAGCAGTCCAACTCAAGAACGTTGCCGCTACCGACGTTGATACAGCGGCGTTTTTGTCCTGTGTTGAAAATGGACCAATTTATGAGTCAATTTCAAACGAGCAGACTTGTGATGACGGCTTGGCGAAGGCTTCCAAGTCCTTGACTTTGTATTAGGTTAAACAAGTCCCCGGTCCGCCGCACGGCTGGGTTTTAATGCGCCTGACAAACACAACATTTCCCGACGATTACTCCAAACATTGCCGCGGTACAAGATAAACCAAAGTTGCCAAAAACTTTAATCTTTTGTGAGCGGGTAAAAACGCCACTCTACACAAAACCCCCTTTTGGGTTGAAGGGGGAAACGCGAGACGGCGAATTGCCGGCCGATTGCTTTGGTGCGCGCTGACACGAGACTGACTTAACCCGATCAAACCGCCAACGGTTCTGTGGGCCGTCTGCGCGGACACTTTGAACTACCTCAACGGCCTCGACCCTCGACTAAATCCTTCCGCAAGAAAAAACCCTGCTCGCTGAAAAACCGAGTAGAAAGACCAGAGCGGAACCCTATTAACACCAGATCCGCCTGTATCCATAAGTGGGTTACAGTACGAGCTCCCGATGAAGTACTTGTTAGCGATTTAAGAATCGGTCCTCACTCGGCCCAGGTTTGCTCACCTGCCCCGGCCCATTATAGAACACTTCCCTGCGCAATAGAGCTATTCTCTCCCCTTGTGTCGGGATTGGGGCGGACAGCACGCCAAGGGCCGTCTTAACAACCAAACATAACGTCGTTAAATGGCTCACAGTCGCCACAAATCGATAACGAAACTTAGACGAGATCTGACTTTACCGGACTGGTGATGACAGAGAAACAGAGTGCGTCTCGAAAGGTCCCCAGAATAGCAAACTCTTTTTTTGTTGTGTGTTAGAAGTTAAAACTGTTGATCCAACACCAGGTAGATTTTCTCACTTGGAGCTTTTTTGTTGTGTGTATGGTTTAAGATATTTGTCTAGCGTTTTTTTTTGTTCTGCTGCGACTTCTATCTTTGATGTCTTGAATCAAAACTTTTCAACAAGCCGTTCTTGCGGAGTTTGATTCCCATTATACTGTTTATTCAGAACAGATGAATGGTATTGCATTCCCAATTATATGTTTTGAGTGGGGAGAGCTGCTGATACTAAATAGTGAGACTTTAAGTGTCTTCAAAAATGCACTATAAAGCTGAGTTGAGTTTATTTGGATCCACTCTTAGCTTCATGTATGTCATAGTCTCCAATGATGTTTGAATTAGACACTTAAAATTGGTAAAACCTCATTTGGTCGCTAAAAAAGTAACGAATGACTTGCGGTAGCACTAACTCTATATAATTAGCTCCTTTTTTCTTGGATACCCCCCCCCCCCACACACACACACTTACACATACATATACATATATATGTCACAGGTATACATACACACATACATATAAACAAACAAACACACACTACGACCATCTGTCGTCCCCGTAAGGTTATGTATCCGCCCCATGTTTACCTGCACGAATGTAAAGCCAATTACAGCGCGATCGTCCCGTGTTCTTCAAGAATTGAGTACCTGATGACTCAGATAACACTGCGACAACAGCCTGTCGAGCTGTGGTTATTTATCCCAATTTTTTAGCACCATATTTTCTTTTAGTCTAAAAACGTGCTAGTCACATTGACATGGGATATTTGTTAAAAAGCATGCCATCCCATTTTTTTACTAAAGGTATATAATCCAAAAACACCCCTGCCATCCCATAGTGAAAAAATGGGATAACACCCCTGCCATCCCATTTTTTTACTAAAAGGTAAACTACTAGCAAAAAAAATAAACAAATTAATAAAAATACAATTATCCCAACAAAAACTTTTAGCACGTTTTTTACATTAGAATACACTACGGTGCTAAATAATTGGGATAAATAATCAGATCTGCCTGTCGACTAACGCAACGAGAGCCGACGATTGTTTTCTGCTCATCACCTTTTTACACACTCGAACCTTTTCTCTTATCTTTCGGCTTTTCAAACGTGACGAAATTATCTCCGAACCACTGCTTTTTATAGTGAAAGAAAACAGACCGTTGCTATCATTCTTCTAACAGTCATTAGCGCCATTAATCAGTATAATTTAACCATTCTGGACTCATTATGTAATCACTTCGGAATAAATCGCTTAAATGATTGAGAGACGATATGGAAGGAATACGTCATTACTCAACAGATGGGATATGTTTTCTAGATTATCGCCCTTCTGCAGAATTAGCGACAATGGTTCTACTTGGAAAAATGGAAGAAATCAAGCCTACACATAAAAGTTCAGAAGATATGTTGCGGACAAAAACGGACCAAACCGTACAAACTGAAACTCTTTCCAAAAGCAAAGGACAAGGAAATTTTCTGAACTTCCATACGATGTCCTTCCTGATTCGCTCTTTGCTGTACAACATCACGAACAGTGACAGTGATGTAATATAATTTCCACCAGGCGTATATTTCTTTATTGATACGTGGTAAAAAAACGGATGGAAAGTAACACTCAATTGTTTTGCTACAAAATTAAATCATGGAGGTACATGTATTAAATCACGTGCATCTATCAAGCGTAGCAGCGCTAGCGATGATATAGACATTGTTGTC